TTGCAAGTGTTCATGTGAAATATAGTGACACTTATGGTGTTGGGCTTCTTCAACACAAATACGTACAGATTGGTTTTAAGTTCAGCTCTCCCCTGGCCCAAAATAAAGTTCATGTGTTTGGTTTCATCCACACATTTAGTTTAGATCGAGGAACCAAACGAATTCAGCCAAACCAAATAATAGAATTATTCCTATTCCTTCCTCCATTCTGATTACCATTTAACTCCATCCCAAATATCAAACATCACCTAAGTTCAATATCGCCTAACCCAAGCCCCAATTAGAGCTACACGGGTAGGCGCTAAGTATTATTATTACGGAAATGCTATAATGAGGGGTTATAGGTGAGGGGGATTGTGGAGGGGTCTAGGGTTTAGAGTTTAGGACATGTGAAAATTTAAGTTTTAAGATATTATTCAATCACTCATTCGGGTCAAAAGAGCAAAATGTCAAGGGCCTTGCCCAATTTGCCATTTTGGTAGGCAAGGGAAATCAATTGCTTGTGGGCCCTGTTTGATTTATGGGAAAGCAAGCTTGGGGATGAGAAATCAATTGCTTTCTCATGTTTAGTAAGTCCATGCACATGAGAAATGGTTGCCTGACACATGGGAAAGTAGGAGAAAAAGTGAAGCCTTCCTCCTCGCTTAGGTTTTGTTTTCCCTGCTCATGGGAAACTAAGGCCATCATTAAATGCACTTTTTTTTAATGACCAATTTGTCCTTAGTAATAATTTTTAATTACAAATTTATCCAACTGTTGGTATTTTTTTAAATATTATTTTATATTCATATTTCTTAAAATCATCTCAGCAACGTTCTATTTCTTATAACTCTTGTTTACATAGGGAAGGCAAAACTTCAATCGCACCTAAGTTTTTACATTCTTATCCTCAGAGCAACTTCAAATAAAGTGGGTATTATATTTCTAGTCATCACCCAATATGTATAGACAACTTTGGAATGTTAACGATGCTGTACTTTTTTTCTTTATGGATCTTATAATTCAAGGTTTATACCTTAAAGTGATTTCTCAAGTGACTGATCTTAAGTAATTACAAGATTATGTGTGAGATGTGAATTGTGTGATGTGCTTGCAAGCTGTGTAATGATCATGTATTTGTCATATTGATTTGCCAAAGTTCATTCTAGTTTTTTTCTTTTTCTATTTGGGTTTGTTCAGTAATTGCACCCTTACCACCTTCTTTCATCTGACTCTACTTCCAGTACACTTTTTGCTTGATAGAACAGATGTGAACTAATCCAACACCAAGGCTAGAAACTGAAATTTTGCATATTTTGACTACCAATAGGAAGTTGGTGTAATGTTTAATAATTCAATTGGAAAGGTTAATAAAATGAATAAATTTTTCATATTTTTAACAGGGGTACAATTGGGAAACTACACAAAATTCGTTTTCCATTCCTACTCAAAACAAATATAGGAAAGGAAATAAAGTGATATTTTTCAGTTACTTTCCCAACATTACCAAACATGAGAAATGAAGTATCATTTATCATCCTTTGAAAAATGACATGAGAAATAATTTCCCATCAAACTCGTTCCGTAAACCAAACGGGGCCGTAATGTTTGAATTGGCTAAGCATTTGGCTCTCCTCCTCTATCCAGACCAGACCAGAGTGACATTGATGTACTGATTTGCTTCTTATACTAATGAACTTATTTGACTTTCAAGACCCCAAAAAAGAATAAAAAGTCTTCCCTTAATAGCCATCAGCAAGCATCTCTTAACACTTGTTTTTTTTGAGAAAATTGGTGCCGGGGGCCCATCCTTAACACAAATTTTATATCCACCCAGATGTTTTCTCTCTAAATTTTAATGCTCTCTGACTCCAAAATAGGACATATCGTTCTCAAGTTCTTTGCTTTCTTTTAGTCTTGGTTTTAAATCAAAGTGGTAATCATTAAGTTTTGCGCATTTGGTGCACATGATATATTGCTAAAGATTAAACAGTAGTCACATGACCTAAGTGCTAATGTGGTTAAACAAAAGTGATTTTGCACCCAAAAGAAGAAGTGGCTACATGGGTTAGGATTAGATAGATGCATGGCTCGATTCCTTCTAACGTAATTCAAAAAACCAAAGATGCAACAAACACTCATAACACTCATAACATTCATAACACTCAACACATCCGGTCTTTAAGAAAGATATGAACTACGAACAGAGAATTTCTGTATACGAATAATCTTGCTTTTCCAATAGTGATCTAAATAGATCCATATGATATGATACATATTGTGAGAATGAGAATCTTTGTGTTCTTATTCTTTCCTTCTTTATAACCACACCGCACCTAGTTGTGGGCATCAATCCGGCCAAACCGATGAAACCGACCGACCCACACCCCCCGTCTTCCTCGTGCTCATGAATCCCCTTCGTCCCTTTCAACACACTTCAGGCACAGCCATTGACAAGTTACCCTTTTCATCTATTGGGCCTAAATAAGTTGCCATGAGTGAGTCTATTCTCTTTCCGTTTAAACTCGGACGAAGCATAGTATGGACGGCCCTACTGACCTAACAAATAAGGCATCTAAAATAAATGGCTTGACAAAATAGCAACCAGGGATTTAATGTTGTTTGTGGACTTTACCATCACTAGGAACAGAAGAAACTGAAGCCATCTGCTGCCACGTGTCCAAAACTCAAAATACTAAAAGGATATTTTTTTTTTTGGGGGTAATGTCCTGAATGAGCTTTAGATTCCAAATAAGTCTGCTTCTAATCACAAGTTTACTCATGAATATACAAAAAAAAAATAAAAAGTCAGAACTCAGCACCAATTGGCCCTGCAATCTTCAAATGGCCTCAAGATTGGATCAAAACCAGACAGGATTATTAAGGTGACAAAAAAATGCAAACTCTAAAGACACTACATGCAAAGTGCAGCATCAGTTTAGTTTCTGATATCAACAAAAAATGACTTCAGTGAACCATTGCTATTTAATTTCGATCCAAGATTGTGGGAGTTTCAAGAACTTTTGTCGTCCTTGTAGAACAAATCATGTTGTTCCAGTACAGAGTTCTAGCCAGCAACTCAAACATTAGGCAGCACAATGCTTAAGATTGCATAATATTGCTACCTGTTTACCTTTTCCATTTCCCTTGATCATATTACCTTCTCAATGAAGGCAAGCTTAGCTGCCACAGAAATATAAACATTTCTTCAGCTATTGAAGCAATCCACAAACACCCAGGAGGCTTCGGCCATAAAGAAAAACAGCAAAGGAAAACATTTGATTCTGAAGGTTTGATGAATTGTTATGATCTGAAACCTCTCACACTCAGACAAGTTTTTGTACCAATTTCTTGATACTTCAAGAAGCAGCTAGGCTCACTTCCATCCTGATTGTAAAGCAGAAAATACATGTCAAATGCTGTATATATACTAATATAAGAAATATTAATACCAAGCCCTCACTAATCAGATCATTATGATCAGTAGAATGGTATATAAAATGTCCGGGAGCAACACACCTGCTTAATCAATGATGGAAAATGAAAGATTACGATTACGAGTGCCTTTACCATACTCTTTGTGACAAAAGGACCTTTAACAATGATTTGAAAACAGCACGACTAAACATACAAAGAACGTAAAAGAACTTGGACTTTAACCACCAGTCAGACTTTGATTATAAAGAAATAGAATCTAAAATGTCTATAGAACTGGATAGAACAAGGCATAAACGAAAGGCTACAGAAAACTTCTGTTTCATAACAGTATCCAGTTGAGGATAGAATTATTTTGTTGAACAATAGAGCCAAAAGCCTATTTAAACACCAATTTCATGTGCAACCGATCAGGTTCCCTTCACATAAAACCAAATACAAAGGGAATTTGGAGGACAAAAGATGGGGAAAGAACATAGAACAAAGGGTATCGAAAGACTTTCAGCCCTTTGCCGGTCTCCTTTAACTTGTTGGCTTTGTGATACAATTAAAGGTCCGCAGGTCTTAGGTTGGATGACTGGCACCCATTGGATCAGCTTATTGTCATTACCAGGCACAAAAAAAATAAATAAATAAATAAAGAAAGACTTTCAACCCTTTGACTATTCTGACCTAGTAACAGCCAGCCAGCCAGCCAGCAAGACAGAAAAGGGTATGGCCAAGAATTTAAAGACTTTTCATTTTGCACATGGTGTCAATTTTAATAGGAGACTAAACAGAGCGACAGAAATTTTGAACACCAGAAATTACCATCAGACTAACTGATATCTTCAGATAAAGAATAGATCAGAGAGACTGATATCTATAGGAAGCAGCCGCACCTGATGAGCATTAACTAATTAATCTGACGTGGAGATACTAAAAGAGACCCTAATCATGAAGCACAACAATTTAAATTCATGCCATTGAAAAGGAACCACAAGAATCTAACTTCCTAATACAAGCGCAAAACCTATATGCATGCATAATAGGTACATCTATAAATTCCCACATGCCTAAATATTAGAGATCAAATCATTAGATGACTAAACAGTAAACGCAAACCTATATGTATAACCTATTTGCTAATCTGTAAGCAAAACTAGAAATAACTACAAGAATCAGAGTGAAACATGAAAAGAAAGTTAAAAGATGAAACATGCAGATGCAAGGTAACACTTCACATTCAACCTCATAAGGTTTGTCGGCTCAACGGAACTGAGGAGGTCTTCCAAAACAAGGAAGCATGCAGTCAATAAACCCTGTACCAAAATAGGGTTTGCAAACTATGCGAAACTCTGCGCCCCCACACCCCCAAAACCCTGTACCAAAATAGGGTTTGCAAACTATGCGAAACTCTGCGCCCCCACCCCCCCCCCAAAAAAAAGATGAAAGAAAACAAAATGAATCTCCCACAAGCCTAAGAGGCTAATACCATTAACAAGGTCTGAAATTGACTCTATATCATGTACATATATATATATATATATATATATATATATAAACTCCATCTTTTTACATATTGGAACTACATCAATGTAAAGCAACTAGATCGACCCTGCATCCTGCCCCCAATGAGCAATACAAAATGACCGAGAAAAAAAAACTACAACTAAAAAAAGGGAAATTAGATAAATTTTCTCCTTTTTTCCTCTTATATTTTTTTGTTTTGCCTTCTATAGGGTAATTCCAATTCTTCTTTTGTAAAAATTCAGGGCATAATACCTCCGAATTGAGAGTTCCAAGCCGCAGGGGCAGCTGCCTTTTCCATTTACGAACTTTCAACAAAGTCACAATCTTCTGGGCACAATACAAATCTACCTCTGCAACAAAGACCCAATTACAATTAGCAAGAGAAATCTACAAAAAAGTAACCAAAGAAAAAACTTGGAATTTGTAGAAACAGAGAGAAAGAGAGACCTTAGAAGGAGAATCAGCAACCTTGTAAGCATCCGCAGTAACACCCACCAACCACAACCCAGGAAAAGTAGTCTGCAAATTCATTCAAGCCACATATAAATTATAAAAAATAATAATTATAAAAAACTTGCTAAACTCAACAACAAAACAAGCACAGCAGAAGCAGCAAACGAAGAAACAAAGAAAGGGAAGGAGCAAGGTGGACGTACATCGAGCTGTTTCTGAACATTCTTCGGCCGCTTCTTGGGCCTTCTGGCGGGCCTCGACCCAGTCATCACAAATATGTCCTCTTCAATCTCCTCCTTCGACAAAGCGATCCAGAACTTCCTCTTCTCCTTCTTCTCCACATTCTGCCCCTCCGCCGCCAAACCCCTCAACCTCATCGACTTCGGCTGCTGCAGCTCGCTCTGGTTCGGGTTCGGACTCTCCAGTTCGTGCGGTTCACCGTTGGCACCTCCCTTGGAAAACGACGTCGTCGCCGGAGCTCTCCTGGGCCTCAGATTCCAGGGCTTCTGAACTACCTCGGCTTTGTCAGCTTCCTCGCCCTCCTCCTGATCGCTCTCTCTCTCCTCGCTCCTGCGACGCTTGTCGCCAGCGCACGGGATCAAGGAGTAGCGGTGGCGGGAGGCGCGGGAGGATCCGACCCGGCTGTTGTTGTAGTGGGTGCGTTCGGATTCGGAGTCGGGCTCGGAGGCGGGTTCGGCGGAGACGGGTCGGCGGTAGCGGTGGTTGTTGTTGGTGGTCGAGTTGTTCTTCGCCCCCCATTTTAAGAATGCGAGAGGGAAGTTGTGCAGCGGTGGCTTCACTGGCGCCGTCGCCATTACTGATCAACTCACAGAGCTCAAAGCCTTCAAAGTTCAAACCCAAAGCCTATGCATATACATCAAACCATATATGTATACATATATAATATATATGGATATCAATTTTGTATGCTTGTGCTTCAAGCTTTTAGAGAGAGAAAGTGAACAAGAAGCGAGAGAGAGAGAGGGGTTGTGTGTGTGATGTGAGGGGAGGAAGTGGCAGGGAGACGGAGGCCTTTTTATGGTTTTATATGTATACAGTAGGAAAACACAGGGACTTGTTTTTTCCTACCTCTACGTCTACGGCGTTACGGTTGTGAATTTACTGTTTTAACCTTGGCCTTTTTTTCTTTGTTTCCGTATGTGGGACCATTTAAAATCTGCTGTTCTGTATTGTACTATTTTGACCTCTTTGGGTACAATACCGGATGAGCATGATGGGTCTCTATAGTGGGCTCCACTGAATGCTGTAATCGGACGGTGGACGCGCGTAATTGAAGAAGATGATGTACAGTATTTCCTGGTGTCGCTGGGTTTTCGGTGAGGTATTTATCTCATGTCTTTTGGTTTTGGGTAAAAAAAAAAGAAGAGAGAGGCAATGATGGTTAGATTTTAAATGGGCAAATACGTAGAAGTTCATATCCAAAATAAAAAAATTAAATTAAAAAAAAAACCTATTGACCCTTGTGTTTTGATCGAGAAGATACTATTATCCAAAGCATAGAATATGCAAAATATGTAGGTTTAGAGAGGTGTGAAACGGATGGGTTGACCCAATATGGCATGAGCTCAATCCATTTAAATGGGGCACGACATGATACGAGCACAAATATTAATGAGCCGGACTCGACATGGCACGAAAATTTGAGTCGTGCCGTGATGAGAAAATTAGGTCTAATGGACCGAGTCAACCCACAACCCAACACGGGCCGTGCTTGGCTCGAGTCCGCTTCAGGCCTGGCAAGAATGTGGCATGGCCCATATAACTTGTCAAACCCACTTATGTCTCTTTTTAACGACTTGGAAAGCACACGAGTCCATTGATATCAAACCCACTCATCTTCCTCTCGATAAAAACAACAACGCAGAAGAAGGTGTCTCTTTTCCATTTGCTCTAGAATCTCGTTTTGTAGATTAGTGGTTTCTCGGTAAATTTGAGAAAGGTCATATTATGGAAGCGGAGTTATGGGGCTTATTCTTTGGATTGTAGCTCATTGTGAATACCATAATTTCAAATATTTTGATTGAAATGGACTCTGCGTTGGTTGTGAACTTTATTAAGAATCCTGAGGCAGCTGGTGCTCATCCTTATGCCGGTCTGTTTTATGGCTATTGAGATTTAATGAAGAACTAGTGTTATTCTGTATGTGTATAGATAAAGAAATTATGTGGCTGAGAGGCTTGCGAATGGCAGCTATAATATGAACTTAGGCCTACAGAGGTTTGACTCTGTGCCTCTGTGAGTAGTAGAGGCCTTGGCGGATGATTTGTTAAGGGTCTCTGGACTTCGTTTTGTTCGTTTGGTGTAGTTTCTCTTTAGGGTTCTTCCCTTGTGTTTCAAAAAAAAAAAAAAAAAAAAAAAAAAAAGAAGAAAAAGAAGAAAATAGGGAGCACCCCCATATTTCTTTTACAAGCCAAGCCAGTCAAGCAAAACCACACCGCACAAAAGATGAATTCTTCAAGGAGGCAACACACCCAGCTTTCTTATGCTTTCTCAGCCATCGTCTCTAATTCAATATATCATGCATTAATACAAGCATTTGTGAATTAATTCACACAGAATATATACAAACAATATATATATATATAATTTTATAAAATAAATTCACGTCAAGTAAAAGCATGTTGTGCAAAAGGAAAATAAATTATTTTATCTACAACCCAAACATATTAGTCAAAGCAAAATATATGTTCTAATAAATAATGCCAACCAATCTCAATGGCGTTATTGTTAATTCAAGCAAAATCGATGGCATAATTGTAAATTTAAGCAAAATCGGTGGCAAAATTGTAAATCCAGGCAAAATCAATGGCGTAATCTTAAATCAAAGCAAAAGTGGTGGCAAAATTGGAAATGTAAGCAAAAGTGATGGCTGAAACGGAAATTCAATCAGAATAAGTTGCATAATCATAAATTCAAGGAGCATGGGGTGATTCTTGGAGATACAAGGCAATTTTTGCAAAATGCCAAAAACAATCTAGATTGTGAAATTTGGAAAATTGAAATCATCAACAATGATGTAGAAGCAAAGAAAAGTCATGTTATCATGCCAAACATTATTGCAACAAAAGGGATATCCCAAGCCACACCATGCAATGATTGAAACAAATACCAAAAAGGCTATGTTGCAAGAGTTTTTGTATTGAAACTCATGCAAATAAAATATTTTCCTGATAATTAGAATGCCATGAACTAGGGGGCTTCTCTTTTAGTTGCCTTTTACCTCTTGCAAACAAGCATAAAACTTCACGACAATTACTTGGGGGCTTTATGAGTAAATAAAATCCGACAAGGGAGCAGAAAGTTATGCATAATTACCAAACCCATGCAAGCAACATACTAACTAATACTAAGCACACAAGTCAATGCAACTCGTACAAATCACAACCATGCCAAATCAAGTCTCTCTAGTCATTCAAGCAAAAAAATTAGGCAAGCTAAGGTATTTTGGGCTAAATAACAAATTCAACCAAGCATTATCTTTTCTATCATGCCACAAAATAAGCCAACCATTGGTAACTTCAGTGAGTAACCTACAATATTACAGTGTCTAGGAAAGTCTTTTAAGGTGACACCTTCAGTGTCTAAGAAGGATTGGGTTTTAAGCGGGACCATTGCGACCCCTCCAACCTTCCTGGAAAGACCTAGCTGTAATTTTAGAGACCTTACCTGATCATCCTTGAATTGCTTATTGTTACATTTAAATATATATGACCAAGCTCATTGATCAAGCAAATCAAAGCAATGCCAAGGAGAAAAGGAACTTACAAGCCAATTACAACATGTCGAGTAGATTTACTAGCCCAATTCACATGCCAAGAAAATTGCAACATGTCGAGAAAGCAATCCAAACAATCATGAACTATCAAAATTATTCAAGTTGAAGTCATTTGGACATATTCCTAAACCCATGCCAAACCATGTCATTCAATATCAAGTTCCTACAATTATTAGTTTCTTGCAAACAAACAATCATAACATGTAAAATTCGATTGTGTAAGCAACAAAGCAAGTAACTCAAGAAAAACATGCACCAAGCAATTACGTTTTGTTTCAACCGTAATCAAGCAAGCATGGACACTTGATGCATATTGAAGGCTGCTGAAAGATCATTATAATGATGTCAACACTGGAAAGAGCTGGTCATGCCACTGCCACATTTTTTGGGCTGAAAATTGATTATTCCAACCATTTCAATGCTTTTTCATGGCCCCAATAATCAAGGTAGCCAATGTAAGACTAAAAATGTCACGATAAGTCCAATGATATTTATAGCCCAATATAACATACAATAGTTGCTACATGCTAATCCAAGCTATATTTTGGAAATTAATTCATTAAATAAATATAAAAATAATGTACATATCATGCGAAGCAAATAATACATTATTCCCTAGGACTTGCTTTTCATTCGGGATACTTTGGGCCTAGTTATTGCGTACTCAGAAACGGGGAATTGAAGGTTGTATTCACCTCTTCTCAACTATTTACTCAAGTTAAGCCTTCTCAACAAAAAAGGCCTCCACAAGAGTGATTCATGTGCATTATTGGTTAGAAATCTATAGTCATGCACCCACACACGACTAACCACATCATTTATTAATTAATTACAAGATATTGTGAATCATCACATGCTAATCACATTGACTTCACATAAAAAAAAATTTGTATACTGCATATTGGTAATATACTACATATATGTAATATACCACACATATATACACATACAAAGGTGATCTAATAAAGTCCATCTTCTATAATTATTTAGTTAATTATTCTTGACATTTTAATTTTCATTCCCCTTATAAATAAAGCTAGTAAAGTAAATAATAGTTTACTAATAACTATTTGGCCTTGTAGCATTTAGTTCTCGCTTTGTTGGACGATTTTTTAAGTTAAAATCTTATGAATGAGAGTTTACTTTGTTAGCCATGAGAATGCCAAATTATAATGGGAAATGTAGAGAGACTACATTTCTAGACCACTTCACCATCTCCCTAATAAAGGTGAGACACATTGTATTGGTGGGCTCTACCTCTATTAAAGAGGTGGTTCGTACACAAGGTATTTATAAATATGGTCTTCCTAGAATGACCCACTTATAATTTGATAACATAAGTTTCAAACTTTGTCACAATGGGTTCCTACAAAAAAAAAGAAAAAAAAAGTTGACAATAAGTTTTAAGGGATATCAATTTGTCAAATATTTTTATTTTTTATTTTATTTATTTATTTGAGTTGATTGATATTCTATTATAAGGGGAGAGGGAAAATCTATTCTAAAGGGACACCCACAAGGGGATTCAAATTGGTGCCATGGGGTTTGCAAACAAAGATCTCAACCACTGAGGTAAACACCCATGTACTCAATTTGTCAGTTTGCTACCTTCAAATTCACGTAAAATTGACTACTCGTCGTAATAATACTTATATTATTACCATTATTGTTCACGGGACAATGTGATATATCGAGTGCATATGTTCTTTCACGTTTGGTAGGTGAGACTGGACTAGATTATTTCAATTAAAATGGACAAGAGTCATGATGTTGTCTAGTGAGCTCGGATTGGGCCTATTAAAGTGGACAACAGACAAAAATCGGTGGAACTCATAAGGATTTGCTTGTACGCAACTCCAATGCAATCCAATTTGGATCACCAAACGATAACGAACATGAAAAAGTTAATACTATTCTCTAGGGCCGTGGGCAGTAACAAGGTTGGGTTTAACTTGTAATGTTGAGGTTGGGCCTACTTTCTCAACCAACTTGCTCTTTACATCCTTTAATGGTTGTGTTCCAAACCTAAAATCCCAATTTTGAACCTTTTCCTGAAAACCCTCTATCTCTTTATTCTCTATCTCTATGAATCTTTTGTGAAAGCTCCAATGGCTCATTTCACTAAACCTTAAAACCCACCCATTCTCCCTCATTTCAATTCATAATTTTTAGGGTTTCGTGTGGAAGAACCTCTTAATGCCCCTATCGACAATGCTCTCAGCCAGCTGTCCTCATCGTTTCTTAGCATCGAAACAACACCATGGTCACAACGGGTAATTGCAAGACTTCATCTTCACAGCTGCTCCTGGCCACCTACTGTTCGTTCCGTGCGCCCACGCTCCGTCACTACCTAATCTTCAGTCTCTGTGATTGTTGAATTCCCTTCCATGCCTTCCTCCTCACGACGCCCTTGTTTCATTGGTGCCTCACTTGTTCATTACTGTCCTCTACTCACGCAATTTGTTTCTCCGGCAAATTCTACTCGGTATTTTAATATTGTTTGTCATTATCCGCTGCTTATTGGAGAAGATTTCGATCTTTCCAGTTTTGGGTCCATCTTCGTTGATTTTCTCACTCGTCATCGTCTCCTATGGTTGGTTCAAGGTTTGTCATTGCCTAATTTTCAGATTGTCTCCCACTTCTATGCCAACTTTTCTACTGAACCCACTGCTTCCAATCTTCATTCTGACATTGTTGTGAGTGTGCATGGTGTTCTTGTTCCCGTCAATTTCGTGTTTATTGCAGTTTCCCTTGGTTTGGCCCTTATTTGACTTGGGGCCATTTGTGAACCAGTTCCAGATTCCATTCCACGCCTTCATCTTGTAAATATCCTTTATGTTTCTCAACCCGAAGTTCTTCCAACAAAGCCCTCTTTAGGTATGATGTCCCAATGGACTTGCACCCTCATTTGTAACTTCTTGAATCTTACTTCCCAACATGGAAAAGTGAGTTGGAAGGTTGCCTATCTTCTCTTCCAGCTTGTGATTGATCACTCCTTTAGTGTAGAGTTCTACATCCGTGATAGCATCACCACTACTGGTGCCACCAATGCCTCTGTTAGTGTAGAGTTCTCATCGCTCTTGCTGCTCATGTTGGTGTTCTTGTGCTTCATACGGATGACATTGGCTCTTTCAATTCTATCAAAGTAAACAATCATATCACTCTCCATCGCATCGATGCTCATTGTACCTCTGTTGGTCTCTCTATCGAACAACAAGCACTTTTGGACTCATTTTCTGCTTCCCATAAAGTGATGCATGCGTTTCTTCGCCGCATCTAAAATCGTCTTGATACTTACAGTGAGCTACTGCTAACTCTTGTTGGTCATATCCAGTCGCCTGATCCTCCTCATCCCTCTCAGGCTCGCAGTCTCTAAGGTCCCTCTATTTGTTTTTAGCTTTATTCTTCTAATTTTGTTAATTTCTCTGTGTTCCTTTGGCTTTTCTAAACAACAAGAAGGAGAACACTTTTGTTACATATGTTAGTTAGGAGAAGTAACTTGTCTTTTGGTAGTTAGAAGCATGTTATTTAGGGGGAGAAATTTTTTTATTTTATTTTGTGATATCAGAACTTATAATGTCTTGCCTAACCACTTATTATATGAAGAATTGTTGTTTAATTGTGCCAAGTTCTGTTTGTTGATTTTCAATTCTATTTTGCTTCACTGGTGGCTTATTTGTTGGTGTGAGGAAGTTACAAGAACAGGATGTTTGTTGGGCATAGTGAATTAGGTTGTTTAGTTATTCCTTGTAAATGTGTCTGCAATGTAATCTAATGTTTTGTCTAGGAAATGCTAAATGGGGAGATTGTTAGTATGAAAATTGTATTGGTATTTCCTAAACTATAGCATAGGTCGGGAATTAGTGTGTGAATATCTTTTACTGGAAGTTTTGGCTCAACAAATTCAAACCTGGATTTTCGAAGTATGACTTGATCGATATGATGAAATTGATTTAAGGTAAATCGTGACATAATTATGCATTCATGATAGGATTCTTAGTTGGAGTCATTTTGACTCAAGTGCTTATGTGTTCGTTTTATTTTTAATAAGATTAGATTTTATCTCTTGAGAATACTTTTATAGTTGGACCTTATTTTGATTATCGTTAAAACTTTACTTTTCCTCTTATGACTTGGAGGGCACGTTGTTCTATTAAAGTCCTCTCCTACCTAATTGGTCTAATTGATTTATCTTGGTAGATAATATTTCCTTATATAATAGTTAATTTTAGTGAAAGACATTCTTTCTTAGATTGTGCAAAAGATGATGTTTTGGATTATGATCCTAAAAGAATCAAATATGATATTGATGAAAAGTCACGTGCTTTCTTGCACTTAGACTTTTCAAAGTGAAAACCTCTTTTGCATAAAATGTAACATCCCACATCGATCAACAAAGAGGAGGTGATGTACCTTATATGTACATGCCCACCTCTATCTAGCACGAGGCCTTTTGGGAGCTCACTGGCTTCGGAGTCATGGGAACTCCGAAGTTAAGCGAGTTGGGGCTAGAGCAATTCTAGGATGAGTGACCCACTAAGAAGTTGCTTATGAGTTCCCAGAAACAAAACCGTGAGGGCAGAGAGGGGGGCCTAAAAATGACAATATCGTGCTATGGCGGAGCTGATCCTAGGATGTGACAATTTGGTATCAGAGCCACTCTGTATTGTGGTATGAGTGTGCCGACGAGGACATCGGGCCCCTAAGGGGAGTGGATTGTAACATCCCACATCGATCAACGGAGATGAGGTGATATGCCTTATATATACATGCCCACCTCCATCTAGCACGATGCCTTTTGGGAGCTTACTGGCTTCGGAGTCATAGGAACTCCGAAGTTAAGCAAGTTGGGGCTAGAGCAATCCCAGGATGGGTGACCCACTGGGAAGTTGCTTGTGAGATCCCAAAAACAAAATCATAAGGGCAGAGAGGGGGGCCTAAAGAGGACAATATCGTGCTATAGCGAAGCCGATCCTAGGATGTGACATAAAAGGTTGGGTGCCTCTCTTTGGTACTCATGACTTTCAAGATTAGTATGTGAGCATCTAAAATTCCTAAGAAAGCTGTTGTGCATAACTTTGAGACAAGTCATCAAGTGATTCATGTTTACTTGGTGATTGATCAAATACATTCATATTGTGTATTCGGTGACTTATATGGTTATGGGTACCAAGACCGTGATGACGGTTTTTCTTTGGCTAGTTTGAAGCAATTGTGACCAATATTGCGTTCAACATAAGGAGTGTCGAAAGATCATTCCATAACAGAAGTTGAGTTATAAAGAAGTTGGTAAAATTATCTAGAATGTGTGTAGGATAAGTGTGTGAGTACTTCTTATAATAATAGTTTTATAGTGGATTTATTTTAATTGAGGTGTCCTGTGGATTTTCCCCGAAAGTGGGGTTTTACCACGTAAAATAATTCTCTGTGTGTTTTTTTATTTTATACTCTACATGTTTTAGAATTGATAAGCCATATCAATCATGCTGCTGAAGTTTATTTTTATTATTGATTATAATTTTAAATTGGCCTATCACCCCTCTATAGGCATTCTTAGTCATCCTATAGGTAATTTCAGATGTTGTCTATCCTAATTAGTCAAGTGAAGTGGAGTGTGATAATGAGATGAATGAGCTGTTTTTCAAGACGGAACTGGCTAACATTGTTTGTATTATGAAAATTCAGAAGATAGCAAGATTGACCAAACTCTGAAGAGAGCGACTAAACCCAAGAAGAACAAGAGCAACAAGAAGTTAATGGTTTCATTAGATTAAGTATGTTATCAGAAGCATGTTATTAGTAAAGGTTTTGGACCTCAAATTATAAACTAATTTTGAAATACACATATGAATATGCTTGAATTTCTAACACCCATATTTAGGCTAGAAAGGTTGTATATGCAAGGCTCATTATGAAATTTTATCCAAATTCAATGATGCTGGGCATCTCACATCCACCTTGAACGCAGTTTAAACCTTACTGATACCCGATAAGGCATCACTCTAGCGGGTTTCTTCATTGCTGAAATGGAACCTATCACAAGTGGGATAAAAATTGCTCTCTTTAGGGAGTGGATAAACTTTGCTCACTTAGAAGACATCAAAATAACGTCGGCTAAAAAAAAGGCCTATGTTATTACCATTGACTATAAGGAGGTAACAAAGAAGTTGGTTGATAAGGGACCTTGGTTTGTGCATGACCATGTCTTATTTGTGCAGCCATGGCCTGATGCTTGTTTTTTGGAGGACATCAACCCTTACTTGGCTTCATTTTGGATCCAAGCTAATAGGAACCCACTTGGTCAAATGAATGCCAAAAACGGAACTATCATAGCAAAAAAAAATTGGGAGTGCTATTTCCATGGATGACCCAAATCAAACTAGTATGCGTGGTTTTCTTCATATGCGGGTCCAGCTTGGTACATCATGTCTCATTCAACATGGGTTCTGGCTACCAAGCCATAAGAGTGCTCGGTCTTGGGTCACATTCCGGTACAAAGGCCTCCGTCGCTTTTGTCAGTAGTGTAATCACCCTTTGTGTCCAGTGGTTGAAAGCATGTGCAATCACCCTTTGTGTCCAGTGGTTGAAAATGATGGACCCAATTTTGGGGTATGGATGGGAACCGATGTTGTTTGTGGTCCCACTCCTATTTCTTCTGCGCATCCTGCGAAGTAGTCTCGACCGGTAGAGCCCGAGACATCCCAATGACACTGGAGAGTGGACATGAAGGTGATCAGACAGTCGAACGACACTTTCGTGAGGGCTGACCTATTATGTCACAACTCGACAATGTTGGAAATGGCTGCCAACACACACTTGAGCACTCTTATCGTATCTACCGGCAGGATGAGACTGAAAGGATGCGGTCATGTGAGCCTATCAGAGCCGTATAATATTTTCGCTTCACATGTATAGGTATCCTATATCTCTCGCATTAATGCACCAATCTTCTTTTAGTGCCCATCCATGTCATTGTCAAGGGATAATTCCACTTCTCTATTGAGCCATGCGTTGGTGCCAAGGCGTGAGAAATTCCCCCCTGACAATATGGGAGATGAAGCAAATATTTAATTGGTGGACTCCACTAAGTTTGACAATGATCTAATTCTTTCTCTTTGTACCCATACTTCCTACGCAGATGCTACTTGTGTTGTCACTTCCAATATGTTTGGTGGGTAGTGAAAAAGCACTAGTCTGCAATTGTACGAAATGGGTAAAATCATTTTGCCTTCTCTGCAATCCATGCACAATGGATACACTTTGGCAAAGAAAATTGGATTGTCGTGCCCACCTGTTCAACTAAAAGATTTCGTCATAACCATGTTATGGGAAGTTCTATATGATTTTCTAGCAGGGGAAAAATTGGATGTAGAGGTCCCCTAAAGGCCACCAAAAATTGTAGGAACCGGGTATCTGAAAATCAGTTATGTGAAGTGGACGCGAGTCCATTTAAGAAGCTAGATGTGGTGGAATTACGATTGAAGAAGTCTAGAAATTAACTATTTTCTCTTATGGATGGTGGTGGTGGCTGGCCAACAGCCACAGGAGAACCATGATACAAAGATTAACCATGGTACTATCAAGGGGTGAGGTCTCCCTTGAGAGTTTCGTACATCAAAAATCCCATTTTGGCGCAGTTTTCTGAATTACCTTTGCTCCACCTTTTATTGGTTGTTAGGTCTCGACATCTAGTTTCTACCACAATACGCAGCTCGTCTTCTACCCTTGTGTCTCTGCTTCACATCAGTGACACTTATGGAGTTGACGATGCTTTTAAAGTGCATTTGACACTTACCTCTTGAATTATGGTAGCGTTGTTTGTAGTTGTGATGACGTATCCATCACTATTTTTCATCATTTGTTTTGGTTACAGGTTCCTTTTCTGTGGTTGCGATTTGACGTTGGTGACTGGTCAAGGGTGGTGCGGCTTTTCCCTGATCCTTATCCTTTGGTTTTTTTTTATGTTTGTGATGTATTTTACTTCCATTGTGTTAGCTTTATGCCCTTTTTGCTTTCTTAGATTAGTTCAGGTTTAAGATCTTCATTCTATTAGTGCACTTTAGTTTTAGCCAGATTTGTTCATGGGTTTTATTTCTGGGGGGTTCTTTTGCGGGTGTTTTAGCCCGACTCTGATATAGTGTTCCTAGCCCTTTGGTGGGTCTTGAATGAACTGCTACTTTGACCCAAAAGAAAATTAAGCCCAATATTTTATACATTTAACAATAAGCCCAATTATTTTAAAATCCATTCAGCCCAATTTTACATCTAACCGAACTTCACATCTAACTAAGGCTGAAGCTAACTAATAGGAATAACCCTACCTCTTCTTTTGGGCAGATTAACCCCCTACCTCTCTTTCCCACTCAAAACCCTAGCATTTCAACGTCTCTTCTTTTCTCCTCTCTTGTTCTTCTTCTTCTCTGTTCTCTTGTTCTCTCATTTATCTCACAACTCACTCAACTACAGAATCCATCCCCACTCACCAACCACAAACCTCATCCCTACCCCACTGAATCGAACAAACCCAACCCTCAATATATCAATGTTACGAAACCACCCTTACCTCCCCGAAGATCTTCAGGTGCCTTTTTGCTTTTACCTCATTTCAATTCCTTTCCAAATCTGCAGCGACGACTGCAGATTGACTACTGAAGTTTTAGGGTTTAGGGTTTAGGGACCTGTTAAATGTAATGCATGTACTTAATTTCAATTTTTCAGGAAGCATTGGAACACTTGGCATCTATTGATCTGATTGACTTATGCAATGAGGCTAAAGTTGAGCGCTGTCGGGCAACAAGAGACCTGAGAAGCTGTGGGCGATATGTAATGGATGTGCTCATCTCTTGTGGACATGCTTCATTATGTGCAGAGTGTAGCCAGCGGTGTGATGTCTGCCCAATTTGTAGAATTCCAATACCAAAAAATGGCAAAAAATTACGTCGTCGTCTTTACGATCAGTGTTCAGAAGCTCGCCTTATATCCAAAAAGAGATTTCAAGAGAAAGAGGATGGGGAGGAGCATATATCTGCTGACGTCCAACGTCTTTATTCTCTATTTGATGTCGCCCTGGAGAATAACTTAGTTTCTTTGATATGCCACTGTATCCTTTAGTGAACTTTTGCCTTTCTTGAAACTCTACTGTCACTTGTGTTATTCATATGTTTTCTTTGACATAGATTAAACAGATGTTACAGATGTTTGTTTGGATGAAAGTGCAGTGTCCAGTGATCCTGTTATTGCTTTTTTATTGGATGAAGTGGTTGTTAAGGATTGGTGCAAACGAACATTCCAGAACATCATCACAGAACTTCAAGGCATTTGTATCCTTATATCATTTTTCAATATTTTTGAAATATGTTATTTTCTGCTCATGTATACTTTTCATATTTGAATGATTTGTATTTCTTAATATATTATCCTAAGATAATCTTGAAACAGAACAGATGAAATCTATGTTGAGTGCACTTCTTAAGTTCTCAGCACAATTGGCTGGCATATCTAATGTGCTTGATGTTCTGGATTCATCTTTTAAGGGCTCTCTTTCAGCTCAGCTTCAAGACTTGCACCAGCTTCAAGAGAGCATATTGAAGACAACGCAGGTCGTTGCTATGATGGTTTACCCTTTTTGTTCTTCGTGATGGTGTCACCTGATTTTTATTTGTGTGAGGATACTTGCTATTATACATAATTACATAACATAATTGCCAACAAAAAATTGTTTAATTTTAGAGCTTGATGTTGAAATCCGCAGATCTAGAAATTCAGTTTGGACAATTGAACCTTCTCAAACTGTTTCTTTTTAAGAACCAAAAAGATTCGTGATATCATATTATACATGCTTCAGTTTTTCTAATTTTTAATAGTTTGTAATTTAAACTATCGAGGTAGTACTAAATTTTTAGCTATAATAATTTCGAAGCCCTTGAAAGCACAAGAAGCTACAGCATATCAGACTTTAGTTTATAGAAAGATAAACTGTTTTCTATGTTGCATATTTTACTCGTGTTCCTTAAAATTTATTGTAGCACGATTGCTACCAGTGATCTTTGGTATTTTATAATATTAATTACTTTGTGAGTTTGGTTGAATCTTGCACGTTTTCTTCTATACGCTTTTCAATTATGGATTTCCAAAGAGACCAGGTTGCCAATAAAGTTCCTATATGTCTGCAAATATTTTGTAATTGTTGTTTGACATTTGATTTTTTTATTTTCAGCATATGGAGGCCATGATATGGTGTCTACGACATGAATTCCTTGAGAATGTGAGGCCTAGCAATGCTAATTTCACATTGTGGTGTTCTCTTGTACGGGAAAGGAAGTCAGCTGCAATTAAGCGTTCTTGGCCTGATGCAGTAAATAACTCTGAAGAGCCCACGGGACAGGAAGGTACCCTGTTTATTGAAGACGCCCTGGTAAATCTGGAGATTGAGCAGGGAAATACAGTGAAACTGGTAGAAGAATTAAAACTTGCATCTTTGCAGAAGGATGGAGTCTCATCAATTTTCAGTTCTGAGATAGGGGGGGTTGCAGGATGCTATCCATTTGAAAATGTTCGAGCTGCTGTTGATATACTTTTTCTATGTGGTAGTTCAGATTTGGTGGTTGCGAAGCAAGCAATTGTATCCTTTCTTTTTCTTTGAATTTTGTTTGTTTCTTTTAATTGTGCATTTCCTGAATTCCCCCCTCCCCCACCTCCAGGGATATCTGTATTTCCTTAATCTATAACAGTTTCTGTACTACCTATTTGATCGGCATTGGACAATGCCTGATGAGCAATGGAGACACATTGTAGAGGATTTTGGAGCTACCTTTGGCATACCCAGGCATTTATTATTGGAATCCTTAATTTTTTATCTCTTGGATGATCACACAGATGAGGCTCTGCAGGTAAGTTCTGCTTAATTTTTCCAGATGGTTATTCCTTTTGAATGCCAGTTTTTCTCTCTCAATGGTCAATGCCATAAGATTCGTGTTCAAGATTCAGTGACATTATTTAATTCAAATTTTATGCTCAATTCGTATGTCTATGGTCAGGCTGTGGCATTCTAGGGGGAGGGTTCTTCTCCAGTCCTTGCTAATCTAGGAAAAGAGATTGCGACTTGAGAATATCAAATAAGATTTTGAGTCAAATGTAATTTACTTATTTTATTTTAAATAAGACAGATCTGACTCTATCTGTTGTGGTGCTGCTTGTTTGAGTTCAAAGTAGTCCATTATTATTTTTTAAATAATTAAAATTAATTGGTTTACGTATAATGTTTATCCAAGCTAATAGGATGTATATGAAAATTTTGATTGGGGGTAAAACCAGGAAATATTCTAGTGCTGTTGCAAGTTGTTATTATTTGTAGAAGGCAGTTCAAATTTATGCTTTTTGTTTGATATTAGATTATTTAGTCCCGGATTCATTTTAATGCTTGATTTGACTTTATAATATATTTCTCAGGAAGCTTGTCACCTTCTTCCAGAGATCTCAGGCCCAGCAACTCATCCTAAGATTGCACAAGTACTACTAGAAAGGGGGAACCCTGATACAGCCCTTTCGGTTTTACGATGGTCCGGGCGTGATGGTACATCAAAACCAATTTCACTTAGTGAGGCTGTAACTGCAGTTCGGGTAAGGGTAGAGTGTGGACTTTTTACCGAAGCATTTATACATCAAAGAATGCTTTGCACCAAAGTCAAGGAGAAGAAGTTGAAGTGTGGACAATTTGGTGATGTAACTGATGATTCAACATTCAAATATAGGGGTTGGGAAGACTGGGTGGAGATATTGGTTACTGAAATTTGTGTCCTTTGTATACGAAGGAACATGGTAGATCGAATGATAGAGTTGCCATGGAATTCTGATGAAGAGAAACATCTCCATAAGTGCTTGTTAGATTATACTATTGATGATCCTTCCTCAATTATTGGAAGCCTTCTTGTCGTATTCTATATTCAGGTAATTATTATCTATTTTTATTGTTAACTTCAAAATCGAGTATTTTGGTTCAGCATCTTACTAGTGCTATGCTGTTATGCATTGTAACCTTTAAGAAAAGCATCATCATTTATGTTGGCAGTTTCTGTAGCTCATAATACGTTTAAAGCTTGAGAATTTATGTTCATTTGGGGCCAGTTAATGGTGTGAGAAATGCTTGCTTTAAAGTTTATGAAAGTCAACAATGTTTGATTATGCATATCATTATTGATGCAGCTCTCTCCACAATTTTTTGTGTAGTTCAGGACGGCTTGCAAATGGAAGGGATCACAGGCCCTTTGCATTTACCTTTGAGGCATTTAAGCACTTTAAGGAGTCACTATTTTTTGAACTATGTCATCTGGTTTTCTTATATTATTAGTTTGTAGACTGTTTTATCTACTTATTTATTGAAGATATTCTCAGTAGTTAGTTCTATTAAAAGAGCAAGTTCTGTGTTGAGATTTTCTGACATAAAATTGCCCATTTTCCTTCCTTATGCCATTTCAGCGCTACCGGTACTCTGAAGCTTACCATGTTGATCAAATACTTAAAAACGCGGAGCAGGAGTTCATCTCAAAGAATTCTGTCAGTGAAGAAGTTTTATCTAGAATGAGATCAATGAGTGGCTGGAGAACAGGATTAATTGTAAGTTGTTTAATTTTTCAAGAGCGTATGAGGACACCTTTGCCACTTTAATAACCTAATTTGTGGAGGGTATAGTCATTGACCATGTGATTTTCTTTGCTTTATTCTTAGGTTTGATATTTAAGTCATTTGTAATGCAATATGTAACCGAACTGGTTACAAGCAGCTTATTCGACCCCAATGTTAACATTCTTATATGACAATCAGACAGTGATTGCATCCTTAGGAACAAGCCATTGGCATAATTGTTTCCATTGATTTAAGCATACTGGAGTGAGTCTCTTTGCGGGTACATGGTGCTTTCCTTGTTTTGTAATTAGATGCATTTGATGAACAGGATAAATGCATGGAGTTGCTACCAGAAGTCCAACGACAACAAGTAAAGGCTGGAAAGTTTCTTGAGATATCTGGTGCCACCTCTAGCGAAGTTGAAATTTCAGCAACATGTCCTCTTCCTGAGGTGCAAGTGTCAAAATCAACTAGTTTACTGATTCCTTCGTCCGTTGATATTTCTCATGCTTTATGGATGGATCGCATGAATCCTTCCTGGAAATCTTCAATATCTGAAACCCCCCAAAAAAGAGTGGCGTTAGTTGACAGTTATCGCTCTGACCTAGGTAACCATGGTTCTTCAGTTCTGCATGAAAGGTTATTTACCATTTCTGAAATGCAATGGAAGCCTGATAATAGCATAAACAAGTCCTTCAATTTTGAGGATGCATCGACTCCTGAAATTCATTGGGATACTCCCTCCTCAGCAGTTAAGGGTGGGAACAGGAGTTCATTTAAATTACTTTCAAATAGCCATCTCCAGGACAATCAATATGATAAGATGTCACCAGAAACCGAAAAGAACAGGAGCTTCAACCCTTTCAGAAATACAAGTCCTTTACACTACTACAGCGCTAATTCTAATCCAGTAACTACACCAAGCAGCAACAATGGCCAGTTTAAAGATTCTGCAATGAACCCGCATCGCGTGTCCAGTAAGGCATATTATCCAGATAGGGATGATAGACCTTGGGATATGGTTTCCAAGGATGACTCAATGGACATTTCCTTGAGGTGAGTGTTCAAATTTTTTATTTTCCCTTCATTTCGCCTGCCCCATTAAAATCTCGTTTACTTTGTTACTTGTGTGGTATAACTGTTTGAGAAGGTTTACATTGACATTCATTTCAGTGTTTTATTTCTTTTTAATACAAATTTTTTTTCTTAATATTCAGCTATGGAGAAAAGAGTTTTGGAATTGAGGACAGAAATTTGAATCATGGACCAAGATGGAGGTCTGATGAAACCAGTGACGAGGAAGAGGAGCAGAGTCCACAGAAAGCCATTGACATCACTCATCATACCCCTACTAGTACTACAAGGGGAGTCAGAAGAAGCAGATTTTCCAAGAGATGAAGATCTTCCAGCTGCTCGTTTTAAACTTCAAAATGGAATCCATATCCCGCTGTGGTCTTTCCTTAGTACGGTTTGGGGAGAAGGCGGCCTTCAAGGGCTATAGAGAACAAAGCTGGTTTATTGTACATGGGGTTCATGCTGATTGAATTCAAGGGTTCCCTTTGGAGGGCAAGTAATTATAGTATACATAATACTGTTTAATAGTTGTGAAGTGAGGCTTATATCAGATGCCTAATTTGATGGGTTATCTCCATTTCTTCCTGCAATTGCTTCCAAGTTGATCAGAGATGAATTTCTAGCTTTCTACCGGCTACAAACTGTGAAAACCCGGTGAGAATTTTGAACCATTGAAGTAATCTCAATGCTGAGAGAGCCTGAGGCAAAAGGCTTTTGGTAGTTTCAACATTTTGCTAAGATGTATTTTAACGTGGTGCGCGTTTGTGGATGAGAATGATAATGTCCAATTAACCAAAGAAATACTGATTGCACTGTGTCGTTCAGGATTTGCATACATCTTTTGTATGCATTTAACGATGGTCTAGGTAATGATCAATGTCCTTGATGGAAATGGTTGATTAGTATCTTGAGAATTTGTAATTAAGGATGTGTTTTTTCTTAGTGCCAACATGCTTTCAAATAAGTAAGAAGAACTTTTGTAGCATTTATGTTGAAATAGAGAAAAGTACTCGTTGGGTTACAAAGCTCATTTGTTTGTTGCTTTTTTAGAAGTTGTTTCTAAATCTTGTATGTACAAGAGCTATCTGTCCTTACCATTGGGTTCTACTAACAAAGTAACAAAAGTAAGTAACAATATTAACACTCTCAATTTAGCTTTTAGCGATATTGACACTCTCATTTTAAGTTTGAACGACATATGGACACTCTCGATTTAGCTTATTGATACAATGTTCTCTTATTTTCTTGGTCAACGATATTCTCATTTAATTTTTAGCGATATTGACACTCTTTTAGAATGTTAATTTTGGCACTCTAACATTCTCACTTTAGCTTTTAGCGATAATGACACTCTCAGTTTAAAGTAGTGATACACATACTCTCAAATTTAGCTTCTAAAGATATTGAAATTCTCATTTAACTTTTAATGATATTGACACTCTAAAAATATTCAAATAAGTCCTAAATTCGAACTCTCTTGGTAGCTAACGAGGTCTAGCCCAGTGAAAAATGGCCTTTACTTGCAAAGGTTTTAGGTTCGAATTCCCATAACATTTTGGTTGTGTGTGTGTGAGAAACCCATTTCCCTCTAGTTTAGATTATCGCTTATACTAAAAAATAAAAAAATTCGAACTCTCCCTCTCATACTAAGAATAAAAAAAAAAAAAAAAAAAAAAAAAATTTTTACTCCTCGAACCAAAACGTTTATACTACTGTGGAGGGAGTCAGCGACGGTCCGTGCTCCAGCTTTCGCCACCGGTGGCTATTTTCTTTCTTCTCTCCCCAAACTCCAAGTCCCACCAAAACTGAGTTTCAAAAGCAGAGGAGAAGAAGATGACAGCGGCTCTAAACCTGCCTATCATAGACTTGTCCTCACCAGATTCCCTCTCCTCCGCCACTTCCATCCGTCAGGTTCTCACTGAGAAATTGTTTTCCTTTTATTTTTATTTTATGTCGAATTGAATCGCACTATATTTATAGGAAGATAATTAATTTATAAATATGCAGGCGTGCATAGAGTGTGGTTTCTTCTACTTAGTGAATCATGGTGTTGAGGAAGAGTTGCTCGGGCGAGTGTTCGAGGAGAGCAGCAAGCTGTTTTCGCTGCCATTGGAGGACAAGTTGAAATTGGCTCGCAAGCAACACAGAGGTTACACCCCACTCTTTTCCGAGAACCTCGATCCCACTTCCACTTCCAAAGGTTCGTTCTTTCTTATCATCCAATCTCTCATGGTATTTTTTCTTTTTTTCTTTTAAAGAATTTTTGTTTTTGTTTTGGCTGAGCCTATGGTAGGTGATTGAGCGAGACAATAAAAGTAAATTCAGTATAATTTACAAATATGTTGGTTGAATCTACACTTTGTAACAATGGGATGGAAGTAAAAATGATTCCTTTTTTCTGAAATATATCATGGGATTATGCTTTAAGTGTACTATCTATCTAATTTGTTGTGCTGAATGGAAAAGAAGAAAGGATGTTGATTTTAGTTTTGGGTCGAATGTGAAACAGGTGACTCGAAAGAGAGTTATTATATCGGACCGTTAGATGACTTAACTCGGAGTAATTTGAATCAATGGCCTTCAGGAGGTATGGAAGCATTTTCTTTAATGTTAATTATGGTAGCATGACAATGAATTTTCTTATGCAGAGTTACATTCCTTTTAAGTAAATAGTTTTTTTTTTTGGTAACCTAAAAAAGTTGAATAGTTTTGTGATTGAGCATTGTTTTCATCTTGTTCCCTTTAAGGAAATATACAGATATCCTACCATCTTGGAGACCGACAATGGAATCATACTATAGAAAAGTCCTGTAAGTGTCTCCTTGTAACAATTTTTACTTCCCAGCATTGTACATCTAGTGAGAATTGTTGTCACAATTCTTTTCATTATATATTTAGTATGCTTATTGGTTTCTTCATACTAATTTTATTTCAAACGTCTTATATAAATGTCTATGAATGCCTGGTGCTTGATTTGCTGCCTCAGGTCTACTGGAAAAAGATTAATCTCACTGATTGCCCTGGCGTTGAACCTGGATGAGGAGTTTTTCGAGAAAGAGGGGGCGCTGAATAAGCCAACAGCAGTTCTTCGCCTTTTGCACTATCCAGGTGAAGTATATCACCCTAAAGCTTCAATATAGGTGTCTCTCTTTTTGTAATTTACTGATTACTAGTGTCGCTTAAATTTATTTTATTTATTTTATTGTAATGTTTTATTTCAGGGTAGTTTTTTTTCCATTTTCTATCTTTCATGCCTTGGTATACATTATTTAGGTCAACTGGGATCAACTGATGAAGAAATATACGGTGCTTCTGCTCATTCAGATTATGGGATGGTCACTCTCCTTGCATCAAATGGAGTTCCTGGACTTCAGGCATGCTTCTTTTTTTTTTATAGTGAATTGTCAATTGTTGTCGTCACCGAACACCTGATGATTCCTTGTGAAACTCAATTATGATATTCTTAGCTGGGTGTTCATTTTAACACTTTGACAGGTTTGTAGGGAAAAATCTAAACAACCACGGATCTGGGAAGATGTTCTTCACATAGATGGGTAAGTTCAAGATCATGAATTTTTGTGTAAATGGATGTATGATTGGTATAACAATTTTGAGCCCACTGTATATTTTCTTTAATCACTTATGTGCAGAGTCCCACATAACATATTTGATAAGATATATGGAGTCACATTGACTTTGTTAAATTTATCTTTTAGACCACACTGTTAAAAGTTAAGCACTCGCTATAGCTTTATTATTTTTTGACCATTAATAAGGAAGGGTATTTGTTTTGGGTTATCTTACAAGCATCCTACATGTTTACGGAAGTGCATCTGTGACTGAGGGTAACTTTGTCTGATGATGTTCAAATTTTGAATCTGTAGGGCATTCATTGTTAACATTGGGGACATGTTGGAGAGGTGGACTAATTGTTTGTTCAGGTAATTTGTTATTTTATTAACTTGAAGGGCTATTTTCTTCTGACCAAGCTTATACATGTTTTAAAATTTAGAACCCTGAGGCCTGCATAAATTTTCTCTTCTGTGATTTATTTGTAGGTCAACACTGCATAGAGTGATGCCAGCAGGACAAGAACGCTACTCTGTAATCATTTACCTTTTGGTCCAATTTTTACTTGCTTATTAAGAACATTTCGTATGACTACACTCCAGAATGAAATGGTATTATTAGTTCCCATTCTATTGAAGAAGACAAACCTCCAAGTCAATGAATTTTTTCAGTGTGCTACGTTTTGACATCCTTAAAAGGGAAAAAAAAACTTATGAAAATGGTTGGGCTGAACTTTTTTGTGTGCTATCTGCAATAGCACCTGCTCTGAAAGTGTCGAACAAAATTTCTTGGACATGAGACAATGTGGTAGCATTTCCTGTTAAATAAACATAAAGTTGTAGTATCTTTTGATTTTTAATTTCTAAACTAAATGCTAGTGAGAAGTTGGCTAGTTGCAAGCTGAAAATGATAATGACAAACTTAATTTATATAAGAGGCAACAAAACTGAATTGTCTTATAATGCCACGAAATATGCAATTTAATGGCCTTCTGTTTTTAGTTTTTGAGTCATTAAGTTATGCTCTTTGCTCTCTTCCATCAAGGGAACTATCTTGTCATAATTGAGTCGAATTAAAATGCCTCAATATTTTCAGGTGGCATTCTTCTTAGACCCCAATGAAGACTTTGTGGTGGAATGTCTGAAAAGTTGTTGCAGTGAAGCATCACCCCCAAGGTAAAACCCCCCATTTTACTGTCCTCCCTGGTGTCAATTTTCACTTCCATTTATGCCAATAATTCTTTAGCTTTTCTCTGTTTTAGTTTCATTTTGCTTAATGTCATGCCATGTAGAACTTGTCCTTACAAAATCGAAAATTCTCTTGCAAGGGAAAGGTATCTAAGAGGTCATATACTACTTGTAAGTTGTCCATTGTTTCAATATGCCACATTGGAGACATGACAATCCACCATGCTTTCATGCCTAACATACTTGTCAGTCCATTCTATCAATACTGGTTTTGATACCTGGATGGTAGTCATTTCCCCATTACGTAGATGCCTTTCACTTTCCTACCATGTACCAACGTTCAAGGAGGACATCATACTAATGCATTTTAATCCAACTTATTGGTTACTCCTTTAGTGGAATCTAGTCCAGTTGCTTAGTAGAACCCTGTTTCTGATACCAAATGTTATGTCCCACGTGTAATACTTGCGCTTACAAAGTCGGCTTGCAAGGGGAGGGTACCCTAGAGCTCATATACTACTTCAAGATGTTTTACTTTTTCCAAAATGGGATATTTGGGACATGCCACTTAGTAGTGTGCATCAAGAGCATGACCATTAAATAGTCCTTGCCTTAGTTTCTTATTCTAAATCGCTGTTGCAATGGTACTGTTAAAAGCTACTTATAGGATGGTTTGAAAGGCCTGCTGTTATTTTCTTGTGGCATGTCCTCCATCTTTATTCAAGTAAATCTTCCTTCAAACAGAACAATGATCTGGAGAGCACAATCAAGAAGTATTAATATGAATGTTATTTTGGATATCAGAATTGAAAGTTTTATTAGAACATGAGTAAAGCATTCCTCAAATTTCATGTTTGGCTTGTTGCATTTCCTTGTTAAAGGAGAACATATTTTCCTTCTCCTGTTTGGCTTTAATCAAGATACACTGGAGATAATATTTATGAATCATCCTTGCAGATTTCCTCCCATCCGCAGCGGGGACTACCTAAAAGAGCGACTCAGGCTTACATATGGCTCATAGGACTGAATTTAAAAGCACTGGCTTAGCTCTTCAGATCCTAGGCTGCATCTGGTGGTATATGCAAACTAAAAGGTGTCATGAGCCCTCACTATCTGTCTTTTGTAGTTGCAAGTACATGATGATGATATTATGTTATTATAAACGGCTTGTGGAACCATATAAGTTATAACTCAATACAAGTTGTTCCATAATTCTGTTTTCCATGGAAACAAATTACTTGGTATTTAGATTCTTACCCCAAAAAAAGAAACAAAGAAAAGAAAGAGGTTATATTTTGTCTTTTAGATTTGACCGTTTAGTTTAAATTTTGTTTGCATCCATGTTTAAAAAAATGTATATATAAAAGGGAGTTCTTAAACTTTTTGGTGTGGGTTGAGAAGTGGGTTTTAAATTGAAGAGATGTAGTGACTGAATTTTGGTTGAACATGCTAAAGTGATTTCATGCAATGCAACTGATACATGAATTCCATTGAAATCATGAATAAAATGTTTTTAAGTTTTGTTACACAATTAATAGTAAAAATCCAAATTGATTGACAATTCAATTGTTACTCTAGTGGTTCATTAAAAACAAAATTGTTACCATTGTGTGTCATAGACTGAGAACCAAGAGAGGAGTTACTAGTTATTCTTGGCGATGAATGTGGATACTCAAACCCTCTCTTTAAGAGTGATTCTCTTCATATCAGTTCAACTATTCAAAGTTCTAACGGAATAGGTATCCTATTAAGCACATTATTGAGAATGTTTGGAGATTAAATTCTTCATGATTTTTGCAAAATCTCCAAATTTTATACGGAATGTTAGTATTGAATATTGTAACCCCGAGTGAGTTTTTCAATAAAATATCGCCAAATTTCAAACCCCCAAAAAAAAGTCAGTTGGGATATTGAATTTTTGTCATTGGATTTTGTTATTGTCTTCGTTTTGTTATTGACAAGAAAGCAACACACAACAGCATGACATGCGAGGTCGCGGGAATTAAAATTATGTTGTTGGATGATACATTCCGGCAGATAGATATGAGCCGTCCATTTTTTATATATTATTTTCAACCAAAAATAAATATAAAAAAATGAAAAAAAAATCAAAGGGCTTGGAGATAATTGTCAATGATGGCTTCTGGATAAGGTCGATAAGCTTTTATAATCCTGCTTTCTCTTTGTACGACTTAATACACGCAAGAATATGCCGTACCCTCCTCCCTACCAAAGATGACCGCCTCCTCGCCTTCCACGTGTACTGCGGATCTTCTTCTTCTATCTCCTTATGACTTTAGCTCCAAATAGTTGAGATTTAGATGCTAAATTAAATGCTAAAGTAATCTTGCATGAGCTTAAAATTAGAGTAATGAGTTGATAGGTTCATACATTCTTTTCATTTGTTTTTATGGTTTTAATTACCACTACTTTCTCGACTATGAGTTTAACCTCCTCTTACACTAGTCTTTGGACTACTAGTATTTATCTCCACGTGGTTGGAAGAGGTATCAGGTTCAACTTACATAAATGATGATATATGTTCACAATGAGTTCGATATCTAGTTAGTGCCCTTTTGGCATTATTTATTTGTGGGTGATAAGTGATTTTTTTATAAAAAAATTTGGGAAGCCCAGCCCGTTTGGTAATCTATGAGAAAATCACATAATGTTAAAATTTGATGTGAGATCAATTTGACCATTTCCAAAGGTTCATTGTCTATGTATGAGTATCTTCAACGTTTCAAGGAACTTGGTGATTGTGACACCCCGACCCAATTTTAACCATATATTTAATCTATTTAGTTTATTTAATTGTGAAATTACAATTTTGCCCTTGGAAATATGGTCACTTTAGTCACTTTTTGTTCAGGAAAGAATTTTGGGAATTAAGCTACACCATTGCGTCGGGCTCGTTGAAGCGAGTTCGTAAACGCACGGCACGCTCAATTCCGAGTTGTAAGAACTCAAAAAGGTTTGAAAATTAAAAGGGTATATTGGGAAATTCAAAAATTGTTAAAAATATAGAAACAAAACTGGTTTTGAGCAGAAGGTGCTTGTGGACCCCCTACCAGCCCTATCTCTTTCTCTCAAAACGAGATGAGGGCGACGACTTGGTGGAGATCGGCAGCGTCGGGTGAAGCCAAGGCACGGGGCCGGTCAGGAATTGACAGCCGGAGTCTGGCGATCAAGTTCGAGCTGGAGCCCAGACTTGACAGCCATTGATAGAGGCGTTGGAGCTCGCTAAAGGGTCGGATTCTTCGAAACTTTCAGATGCTGTTTCCGGCGATGATTTCTACAAATCCAGGCATCAGTCTTCATCCTCTCCTTGTGCTCTAGCTATTGGTATATGTATTATGGATGGAGTTTGAGTTTGGGAGATTGATTCTTAACCCTTAAATTGTCCGACTTTTTGATATGAGTTTTGGGTAGTTTCGGCTCGTTTTTGGCTGGGAATCAAGACCAAAAAACATTCCCCCAGTCGAGATGGATATTTTGGAATATGTCTTGATCGGCAGTTTGGAGATTTTCTGACCTCCAAAATTTACTCAAGCCACCCACGCGTTGCCGGGGTGTGGGCCACTCTGTAGCAGGCAGTTATGTCATAGAATTCTTCCCACGTCGTACCGAGCATGACGGTATGCTCGGATTCGAATTCAGTTATCGTTTGATAGTAGAACGGTTTAAGCCTATTAGGCGATATCTGGGTCTGATATGTTCTGACCCTTAGATCGACTCCATTTCCAAGTATGTTGTTCTCTGCACCTCTAGGATCATGTAGGAACTGGTTGATCGAGAATCGAAGTCCCGGATACTTTGAATCAATGATTTTAGGGTTAAGTACTAAGTTGACGTCCGATCGTGCGATCGTGAGTGATCTGACCGCTCGATCGAGATCAAACTCTCGAGACAAGTTACGTAGACCAAGTTGGACTTACAGGAACATTCAGATTGGGAATCGGAGGTTGTGGGCCTTGTGGGCCCAATTGGTCCAATTCCGCAATCGACGTCAAACAGACCGTTAGATTGTGATGAGACTTCTATGATGGGTTTAATTTTTGGTTGTGGACCAATAGGAATTGTCATGTAACAAATTGAGGTCGTGGGCACTATAAGCCCAGTTGACTTAGATAGTGGGCTATGTCACCTTAGTTGAGGCCATTTAGTAGTTGTAATTGTAATTGGATGGTTGTTTTAAAATGGTATTATGCTTTAAGAGTTTTATTAAATGTTTATGAATTATTGCAATTGCTTTTACTTTCGAAGCATATTATATTATGTTTAATTGTGTGGAGTTGAGAATGACTTCGTTAACTGGGTTATGGCTTGATTAAGGAATTAATTAAATGCCTAATTATATGTCTACATATAAATATATGCTCGGTGGCTTGAAATCGATGAATTATAGATACTAGTTTACTCAATAGTATGTAGTACATATTTAAATATAGTTGAGAATACTTTTGATAGATTATGCATGGTCAAATTCAATTAAGGAATGATGGAATTGCTCTCGTTTTAAGAAGAGATTTTTGGTTATCTATTTAAGAACTTATTTTGGAAAGTTGAGAAAAGATTTGGTAAAAGGATTTGTGAAAATGGATTTGTAGAATAAGAGGAATTTTATGATAAGTTTCAAAAAATAGTTTTCAAACCACCACAGGAGTACTCCCCAGTTGCCTTTGGAACAGCCTATCCATTTATGATAATGCATCCACGAGTCTCGGGAACGGCTGAATCGTGTGGTGCGAGGATATGCGTTTTCAGGATGACTATGTGTCCTCCGAGTTCTGGGAGGATATGCGTTCTCGGGCTGACTACATGTCCCCCTAGTTTCACGTGGTCAATGTTATTTTAATAATTTTCTCGTTTTTCTACTTATCTGTAATGAGCTATTATATATATATTTGTATATGCACATATGTGATGGGTGGAAGATTATTCTGAAATCAATATCTTTTGCTTGAGTTTCAGCGGATTGATTAGAATTTGAAGCTTTGGTTTTGGGAAAGTGTGAAGGAATATTTAATTCATGTGCTTACATATGGGTTCAAATAGTTTTCGTGTCGAAAGAACTACGTGTGGCTTGATCCCTCGGTAAAGGTACGTAGGTAACCTAGGTGCAGCCGCAAAATAAACGGTTGAGTTATGCTTTGGAAATTGTGGCTATTTGTAAAGTAAGAAACAAATTTGTAGATTATATTGATATTGCCCTAGTAAGGTTGAATTTGAGGTTGGAGGCCCATTTGGTAAAGTGTGTGCGTTAGCATTGTGCATGTTAAAGTTGGGAGATATTAAATTGTGATTTTTACAGGTGAAAATAATTTGGTAAATGTTCAATTTTCAGGGGAGACTCTACCGGTTTTCTTGGACAATTGTGTAGATACATGCCAGGTGTTGGTCATACACATGGTTCGACACAGATTCCAAAGTGGAATTTGGGTCGGGTCCTATTAGTGATGCTCTTGTTGTGTATGGTACTTTAGTTGAGGATGCTGATCTGGTGTATCACACGCTTCGTGGTCTTCCTAATAATTTAAAACCTTTCATCTACTCGATTAAGGTTCAAATCAATCCAATCCTTCCTGATGAATTGCATATTCTTCTTTTGAGTAAGGAGATATCTCTTCTTCAAAGGCGTAAACAACCTCAGACTGAATCGATTTATGTTTTTCACAAGACTTCACCTCAAGGCTTTGTTGTGTCGTTTTCTTCCTCTGATCATCGTGGTGGTGCTTTCTCTGGTCATCGTGACGGTTCTTTTCGTGGTGAACATCATGGTCGTGGCAGTGACATTTAATACTATATCAATTCTGGTCTTTGTGGTGGTTCATGTCCTTCTCCTGGTCATGGTAGTTTCTCGGTTCCACTACTTCCCACACCATTGCCTTTTGAATGCCTTGCCCCTCTTCATCGCGTTCCTTGCCAAATATGCAATAAACGTGGTCATCAAGCCCTTGACTGTTATCAACGCATGAACAACAAGGTTGCATTCTGCCATCACAACTTCAAGCTATGCATGCCTATTCTGGTTATTCTCCTATTCCAACTTCTTGGATTGGTGATTATGGTGCCAATAACCATGTCACTTATGATCTCTCTGCTCTGAACAATCTTGCGCCTTACTCTGGTTCCGACAATTTCTATGTTGGTGATGGTACAAGTTTGCTTATCTCTAATATTGGCTCTATTATGTTGTCCAATGTTATAACCTCTGATTATGTGCTTCGAAATGTTCTCTATGTGCCTACTATTTCTCAGAATCTTCTCTCTGTATATTGGTTTGTCTGTGATAATAACTGTGTTCTGATTTTTACTTCGACTGGTTTTCTGGTTAAGGATTCTACTATAGAGAGGATACTCTATCAAGATCCAGTTAAAAATGGCCTTTATTTGTTTGAGGCTTGTTCCACTACTACCCTTATTGCTTGTTTGGCTACTAAGGCTCCACTTGCCTTACGATGGTCATCCCTATCTTCCTATCATGACTAAACTAGTTTCTACTCAGCAAGTACAATTTTCCGATTCTGTATCTACTTTTCAATGTACTACTTGTCCTCTAGGCAAGAGTTTTAGGCTCTCATTTAGTTCTTTCTCTCACATTGCACCTCCTCTAGACAAGTATTTGATGCACACAAATGTGTGGAGGCCCTATCCTACATCTTCTGTTCTAGGATATCGTTACTATGTTCTCTTTCTTGATGATTGTACTAAGTTTAGCTGGTTGTATCCCATGATATCAAAGGCTGGAGTGTTTGGAGTGTTTTGCACATTTAAGGCTCGTATTGAAAAGTTACTTTCTCACAACATTAAAGTTTTACGATCTGATTCTAGTGGTGAATATTAAGTACTGCTTTTCAATATTTTCTTGCTAAAGAAGGCATTTCCCATCACCTGGTTTGCCCTCATACCCTTCATCAAAATGGCATTGCTAAGAAGAAACATCGACATCTTGGGGAGCACATTATTAGCTCAGTCTAGTATTCTCTATTGTTTTTGGACTGAAGTGTTTACCACTGGTGTGTACTTGATCAATATACTTCCCTCTGTTAATGCCTCTAAATTCCCTTGGGAACTTGTTTTCCAATCTTTTCCTTATTACACATTTTTAAAACCTTTTGGTTGTCTTTGTTTTCCTTGACTTAAACCATATACTACCTATAAGCTTGATCCTAGGAGTGTTCCTTGTATTTTCCTTGGTTACAGTCCCTCACACAAGGGCTACAAATGCTTTGATACAACTACCCACAAAATCCAAATTTCTCGCCATGTCAAGTTTCATGAGACTACCTATCCCTTTCTTGACCACCTCAACTTATTGTTTTCTTCCTTCCTTTATTCCTCGGTTCCATCCCCTACCTTTTTCCCTTCCACTTCCAGCTTTGTCTTCCTCAATTCCTTTGCCTTTCCAACCCCAGCTATCTAATTCCCCAACCCCTTTCCCGCATTCACCTCCACCAAACTTCGCTCCAGTTCCCTCCCAGCCTTTGCAGGCTCTTCCTTCTCATCTTATGGTCACACATTCCAAAAATGGTATTTTTAAACCTAAGGTTCTCACTGCCACTAAACACCCTATTCCTTATGCATTAGATCCTATTTCTACAATACATTCCTTACCTACTACTTACAAATAGGCCAACAATTCCCTTATTGGCAGCAAGCCATGCAATCTGAAATGGATGCTCTTATCAAGATTAATACTTAGACTTTAGTTCCTTTTCAACCTGAGTACAATATAGTAGGGTGCAAGTGGGTGTTTCGTGTTAAGTACAATCCTGATGGCTCTGTTGATTAATATAAAGCAAGGCTCATTATAAAAAGGTTTCATCAGCAAGCAGGGTTGGATTATTTTGATATGTTAAGTCTAGTGGCTAGGCCAGTCACCATTCGTCTTGTTTTGGCTTTAATGCATTTTTTTCATGGTTATCTTAAGGAATCTGTGCATATGCAACAACACCCTAGGTTTATTGATTCCTCCTTTCCTGCAGGAATCTACAAGCTAAATCGCTCTCTCTCTCTCTCTCTCTCTCTCTCTCTCTCTCTCTCTCTCTCTAGTTTAAAACAGCCTCTAAGGGCTTGGTATGAGGAGTTATTTCATACCTTGTTTGGCTTGGGTTTTGTCTCTTCTGCATATGATCCCTCCATGTTTATCAAGGCTTCATCATCTCTTATTGTGGTTCTTGTTTATGTTGATGACATCATTATCACCGACAGCTTTGCCTTTGATTGTTATGCACTTATTTCTCATCTCGACAAATTATTTCCTATTAAGGATCTTGGTCCTTTGCACTATTTTTTAGGATAGTAAGCTCATCGTTCCGCTACTTCTATACTTCTTTCTCAAACCAAATACGTTTATGATTGTTACGACCCGATTAGAAAATAAGGAATATTCCCGAATCATGGTGTGAGTCATACCATAGTCATAAGAATAAAATCCTATAACCATAATATGATGAGAAATAGAACCACAAATAATACAAATTTACTTAACAACACAAAATCAGAGTCGCAGTAGCTCGTAGTTAAATACAACTAAGATTTTTATCAAACGGTTGACTACTTACAATTATTAATTACACAAATCAACAACAAAAGCCCAACAGCTTAGTTGAAACCCGCTTCCTCAAACTTCTTCTTAAATCCTGCATAATCTATTAGGGGTTGAGCATTCTAATGCCGAATAGAGTACCGTCAAACCCCTTAAGGTCAGCTATCACAGTTAATCAAAGTGTCATGCATCAAACAACACAAGATACAAAAATTATGCAATCATACTAGATAAATGAATTTGCATATGTGGTGATGCCATGAACTCACTTCCTTCTAATCCCACTAATTCATACCTTAGGGCAATGAGCCTGCATGTCCCATACCATACGGTTTACCATTGTGGCTCCAAATACCCTAAAATATAAACTAGTGCCCATCCGTCCCTTAACCCAATTTTCTTTTGTTTATGAATTTCTCATCTTTCACTTTTCATTAGAGGCCCTGCTTCCATTACCTCAATATATTCAAGTCCTACTCCAGTCACCTGAATATATTCCACATTATTTTTACTTAGATAAATCTAAAGCCTTCTTCCACCCCTTAGATATACCTTAAACTACACACAGACCCAACACAACTGTATTTATGATGCATATGTAATGCAGTGCAAACATTATTTATCTGTGCGGAATAATAATACAAATAATAACAATAATATTTTAGGCTTAATCACATGAATAATAATATTCACCCAACGTCAAATACTATCTATGGAGAAACATCAATAATAATATTCACATAACATTAAATAATATTCACCAAGAAAAGCAACAATAATATTCATATTTATAGTATTATATAAGCACCCAGATTAAAAGTGACATGGCCTTATCATCGGGAAATCAGGAAACCCTACCTCATGTCCAGCTAGCTTAACCTTGTGTGGGTTCATCCTCGAATGTACGTAGAATAGAATACCTAATTAAGATAATTTACTGATTAAAATTCACTGGAAATAAGGAAACATGTATGAGTGTCCTACTTGCATACGTAGACCTAAAGCCCCATAATACACTTGACAAGTTATTCGACCTGATCCTTACTGTCTTAACCTCATGTCCAAGCAAGCATAGAACCAAGCGTCAAGGAAAAACCAATCTATTCCCCTCTTATAATAGTTCTACTCTTTGTGATGTTTAAAATCAAGTGGTTCGGCTCTAGACTCGTAAAGAAAATTTAAAACAAAAACTTCAATTTTACTAAACATTTAGGTTGTAACGCATTAACTTTGAAAATTCACTAAATATTGAGTTTAAATAAAAATAACGTAAAAATTTTCAGATCACAACTAGACATAGATAAATTAAAATTTTCAAAATTTGATGGAAATTAGGGTTAAGGAAGCATGTCAAAATAGAAACCAAAACAGACTAGGCTGTAGAATGTTATTTTTTTCAAGTTTGTACACTTTATTTTGAAAACTCACCAAAATTTCAATTTACAACAACTGGATAAAACTTTCCATATTTGAAGAAAATACGTTTTCAAATATGGAAAGTAAAACATACTAAAATTTCATGAAAATCCAAGTTCATGAAGTTTTCAAACATGTATTCAAAACAGGGTATGCGATAGAATCAGAACAATTCCAACAACCATAGTCTCCACTTTGAAATTTCACAAACCAAAAAAACAAAATTCAAATGGCACAAAACCAACTTTGAAATAACCCTTGAGATATCAATTTTGATGTAACAAAATCCCAGAATGAAATTGGTACAAAATCACATCGCAATAATCTAGAACTTCACAGAAACACACTTTGAAAGAGATATATGTCATCGAGGAATTCTAACTAACACTTGATTTACAACTAGTACTCAAAGAGATAATATGAAGATGAGCTTCATACCTTCAAAGAATCATTTACTTGAGATGATAGTGGCTAATTTGATCAATGGAATGACAAGTAACAAGTCATTTGAGAGAAAGTACACATCTATAATAAGAAATTCAATATAATCAATGAACAAGTTTTGTTCATACCAATTTTCAGAGAGTTATAATGGTTGCGTTTTACTGACCTTTGGATATGTTATAAAGAGGAGAATTTGGAGTAACTATCATGAAGAAACCATAGTGTTTTGGGCTTTCAAAATGAGTGTTCTGGACTGAAACCAAGGGAAGAAACTAGGGTCGAAGACTATAAACAAGTTCCACTCTAAATGTTCTCATGGTGACTATAGAAGTCCGATCAACCTAAAATTTTGATATATATATTATAATAGATAGAATTTCAAACAATTTTGATGAAGGAACCAAGGTCATTTGAGTATAGGAAATCACAGAAACATATTGAAACCGAGCATACTACTGTGAAATCAGGAAATGGTAAACTTACTGTGATCATACCAATTTTTCGGAGTCTGTACAAGTCAGATTGAGATGAAATTGGAGCATGTCATAGGAATCAGGTAAATGAACAACTTTTATGAAGGAAGTTTTCTCATTTGAGCTTTCGATATTTGAGTTCTCGGCTGCTCCAAGGAAGTGACGAATTTTGGATTTTGAAGAAGAACAAAAGAAGAATGAGGATGAAAATACTGTGAATGAGGAAGAGAGTGATGATACAATGAATGATGAGGAAAATAATAAATTCATGATTGAAGAGTCTTAGGCGTCTTAGGCTAGGTGAGTCATCAATTTAGAAGAGAGTGATGATACAATGAATGGGGAGGAAGAGAATAAATTCATGATCAATTTAGAATAGGTGACTCATCCTTTCATAAATGGTGGATTTGAATGCTTGAGGCAAGTGGGGGAAGAATGGGAGGAGGGTAGGCTGATGCCCTCCACGTTTCAGATTCTCCTTTTTCTTTTTCTTTTTTTCATTTTTCCGCCTACAAGGGTATTTTGGTCATTTTGGCCCAAAATTCAAAAATGATTTCCTACGTATTCGTTGAGTCGACTACTATTGTACTACCTAAGAATCATAATGGTCTCACCTCAATTTCTTAAATGTCCTTCGAAAAATTCACAAAATGTTACGTAAGGGCATTTTTGTCAAACTTGAAATTAAACACACTTAATCCAATAATCTCAGTCCAAAATCACTTGATAAAATACCCATATTTATTCTTCACCATAATATTATCATCATTATTGTTTTTCACTGAAATATGAAAGTCCACTTTTAATTTTTTTTCGAGGTATTACAATGATCTTTTGCTCAAGCATGATATGGTTGGTGCCAAGCCGTGTTCTACAACTATTGGTTTTGTTAAATTGGATCACATTGAGGACCTTCTTCCTGATCCCACCTTTTATCGGTCCATTGTGGGTGCATTACAGTGTATTACTTGGACTCGGCCAGACATATCTTTCATTGTGGGGCAACTTTGTCAGTTTATGCATTCTCCTCACCTCCCTCATTTTCAAGCTACCAAGCTTTTATTACGATATCTTAAAGGTACCATTGATCAAAGGTTGCTTTTTCAGCCTCGCACACCTACTCTTCAAGCATTTTGCGATGCTGACTGGGCTAGTGGCCCATTTGATCGTCGCTCTACCAGTGGCTTTTGCATTTTCTCTGGTCATAACTTGATCTCCTGGTCCTCTAAGAAGCATCCTATTGTTGCCCGTAACTCCACCGAAGTCGAATATCGTTCTCTTGCTCACACGTCTGCTGAACTCATCTAGCTTTGCCAGTTATTTCGTGACTTGCACTTTTATCTTCATATGAAACCACTAATGTGGTGTGATAATCAAAGTGCTCTTGCCTTGGCTTCGAATCCTGCGTTTCATCCTTGCACAAAGCATGTCGAACTGGATTATCACTTATTTTGCGAGTTGGTTACTGGTAATGCTATTGTGGTTCGTCATATTTCCACTCATGCTCAGATTACTGATCTTCTCACAAAAGCTCTTTATGTTGATCGTTTTCATTTGCTCAAATCCAAGCTTCAGGTTTGCGCAGCTTCTTTCGGCTCAGCCTTCTACTCCTCTAGCTCTTGAGCGATCCAAACCATTGGATCATAGTCATACACAGACAAACTCAATTACAAATAGCACGTGATAGTTGCAACTAAATAGGCTTGGATTAGCTTAATTAGTTAAGCTTGTTAGAATGAATCTTTTTAGTTATTGTTTATGCTTATGATCATTGGCTATATAAAAGCCTTTCATGTAATGATTAATTCATAATGAGAAAACTCAGTTTACAATTTGCTTTCCAATTGAACTAACTTAGGCATCGGAGTGCCTTTGGCCAACACCCTTCATGTGTGGTATTTTACTCTTACTTGTTTCGCAGGAACTAAGGAATAGAGAGAAGGAAACTCGAAGGGTGAAGAATCTACACGCGAATATTCTCATGTGAGAAATTTGCACAAACAGTTGTCACGTTAAAATAAAAAGCCTCACAGTTAAAAACTGAATTCTATTGTTAAAATTATTATCTTTCTTTGTTCAAACACATATTTTGAATGAGGATGAACATTATCCTAATTTTGTTTTATAAACGTCTAAACACTATATTATATGAACTTGGATATTCCAATTTATGGTCTCTTATACTACACAAGAATCAAGTGCCGACTGCTGCCAAAATATGAACTACCGAACACCTACTATAAGGACAAATGTAAAATAAATTGTAGGTCATCAATAGATAAAGAGATGACTTCAAAACTATTCATGTTGATGTGTCAAACAAGTGACAAGAAACTTATCTACAATTTTAGCTTCATATGCTATCTCAAGTTGGGCGAGGCACCAAAATTTTCAACTCACTCAAAATCCGTAAACAATGACACAGAAAACTGAAATTTTTTCTTCAAGCTGTTCTTGTGTAGACCTGCAAGACAGGGTGACTTGTGACAACCGAGTCACGATGTATCATGCCTATTTTCTCATTTTTTTCGAAATTCTAGTCATGCTATTAAGTTGTATCAAATTTGCCACCCTACTTGAGTGATAATGTTTATAAATAAAAATAAAAATAAATAAAATTTATAAAATTATTAAATAAATAAAATTTATAAATAAAACTTCAATTTGATATTATCCCGAAAGAAATAAAAAATGAAAGTAAAATATCCCACACATGGTCATCCAAAAAATGTTTGACTAAACAAAGGACCGGCCAATAAACAATCAAACAAGTTTCTTCCAAAACCATCCTGCGAAAGACCGAGTAGTCTCTTCTCTTTATCCACGCCACGATATATGGATAGTGTTCTACTCATACATCTCCTAGTTGTTCTTTGTCTTTCTCTTCTCTCTCTCTCTCTCTCTCTTCCGCTCTACGAAACTCGAGGGTCCGAAAGAGAAGAAGTAGAAGCAACAAAGAATTTCGAAGCCACACCACAAATCAACAACAAACCCAACTCCCAATTCTCACGCACACCCAAACCCAACACACCTTTTTCCTTGTCTCGGATCATGTGATTCGGATCCTCTGATCCGACCAACCCAACTCGCCCGATCCGATTCATTTTCGTGGTATCAATGACTCGGAGGTGCTCGCATTGCAGCCACAATGGCCACAACTCTCGGACGTGCCCCAACCGAGGGGTCAAGCTCTTCGGCGTTCGCTTGACCGATGGCTCCATCAGGAAGAGCGCTAGTATGGGCAATCTCTCCCACTATGCCGGGTCGAGTTCGGGTCTCCACCCGAACAATCCGGGTTCTCCCGGCGACACCACCAACGATCACGCCGGCGCTGCCGACGGGTATGCCTCTGAGGACTTCGTGCCCGGATCGTCTTCGAGCCGTGAACGGAAAAAAGGTTCAGCCTTTTCTTTTTCCCCTTTCCTAATCTTAAATCTTTCAATTGTTTTGCTTTTTTTTCATTGTCTAATTTTGAAGTTTTTCATTTTGGGGTATGTGCGTTTATGTGTTGATTCTTACTTGATATGTCCGATTTATAATTATTTGAAGTTGCGTGATTAGCTAAATTGAATTTTTTTTGGGTGCCATTTGGAGTGTTTGCATAATTAGCATATCTGAATTTCGATTTTCAATTGATGGTATTTTGGTAGTTAATAACGAAATGGAAAAATGGATCAGATTCCAAATGAAGTGTAAACTGTAAAGGAAGAAAATGAACAATCATCTACAACAAGAACACCAAAGCAACAACATGCTTTCTGCAAAGAAGAATTAGGCTGCAGAGGTTTAATCGAAAACGATGTTTTGCATAAATAAAAGGTTTTAAATAGTAAATTTGTCCCAACCTCAAGGGTGCTACCATAAAAGATAGGCCCAGGAGTTTAGTGGTTGAATTTAAGGTGATGAAGCTTAAGGGATGTAAGCATTGGACCTCATTGTATTAGGTATTTTAGATTTCATTTAGTAGGATGCCTGGTTTAGACCATCCCATAGGCAACCCTCATCGGTATGAGAGGTCACTTGAAATGCAAATATAAGCGTTGTCAGTTTTCAGATGTACTTGAATAATTTTTCCAGGGATTTTAGGATCTTATGGTTGTATATTTACTATTTATTTTTTATTTGGTGTATATGATCTATTTATCACACTGGATTTGTTGATTAGTAGTTACATTGATCTCATTATCAACAATAGCATTCTCGAAGAGGACCTAAGGATCATGATACAAGGAGTTCTACTAAGTTTTTCTTTTTGTGTTAAGATTCTAGTTTCGCATTTTTTCCCTGTAGGCACTCCATGGACTGAAGAGGAACATAGGATGTTTTTACTCGGACTGCAGAAGCTTGGCAAAGGTGACTGGCGTGGGATTGCTCGCAATTACGTCATAACAAGAACACCTACTCAAGTAGCCAGCCATGCACAGAAATATTTCATTAGGCAGACTAATGTATCGAGGAGAAAACGGCGTTCCAGCCTGTTTGATATTGTAGCAGATGATGTAAGTATCCTTTCCGTCCTTGCATAACCAGTATGCACATTTTTTTACATACAGGCACGGAACATGAAAATTTCACCATATTGAGTTTACACTGTATGATGTGCTCTCAAGTTTGTGTTGACTATTTAATCTTGTTGGTTAAAAATTCATGTCCTCTGCATGTGTAAAAATTTAACATACCCGGTCCTTCTTTCTCTCATTTTCTTTCATTTTATAACTTTCACTTCTGTCTTGAATCTCTTGGTCTTGAATGCAGTATTTGTCTGGTGATAAACTAGGGCCATATTTAATCTTGACTGCATGATTCCTACTTGAGATCTCCAATTAGGTTCTGTTTTTATCTTTCTTGACTTATGTATGGTTTATTGATAATTTTTCTACAGTCAGTTGAGGCTCCAATGGAACCACTAGACTTCTTACCTGGCAACCATCTACAAGCTGAAAGTCAAAGCAACAACCCATTGCCCGCTCCTCCAGCTTTGGATGAAGAATGTGAATCAATGGATTCTACCAACTCAGACGGAGAACCTGCCCCTCCACAGGCTGATAGCTCACAGTCATTTTACCCAATGATATATCCTGCATATTTCTCACCTTTCCCAGTTCCTTTTCCATTGTGGCCTGGATACAGTACTGAGCCCACTAAGCAGGATAAACACGAGGTTCTCAAGCCAACGGCAGTACATTCAAAGAGCCCGATTAATGTTGATGAGCTAGTAGGCATGTCAAAACTGAGCTTAGGAGAGCCTATAGGTCATTCCGGCCCCTCCTCGCTTACGCTAAAGCTGGTTGAAGGGTCTTCTAGGCAGTCGGCTTTCCATGCAAATCCAGGCTCTGGAAGTTCTGGCATGAGTTCAGGTGGTAGTCCCATCCATGCAGTTTAGTGGCTAGAGACATGCCTTGGAATTTTACAGGTTAATGTTAATACAAGGCTAGAAATGTGCATTCTGGTTTGGGTTTGAGTTGCATCTCATTATGGAATAACCTTAATAATGTTTTTTTAATAATAGTTATAATCTATAATTTGGTCTTAGGTTTTAGGCTGTACCATCTCTTGCCCAAATTATTTAAATCTTTGACATCTTGTGTTGGTGTCTAGAATTGTTTGGTTTTTGTCCTCCCAGTGTTGATCATGTAGACATTCTAAAGTCGAGCAACCGCCGTACTTGTAGAATAGCTATTCACCGTAATATGAATAAATTTGAATTTCTGCATTTTCAGAAAGGTACAATATTTTTTTGGGGTTGCATTGCATTGAAATCAAGGTCTCCTTTGTTCATTTTTATTTTTATTTCCTTCTTTCCATTTTTCAGAAAAGAAAATTGGTAACTCAAAAGGTTATTACAACTATCCCGGACATAAAAAACCATTGATTCTACTACTAGACCTACAAAACAGGAAATCACTTCAATTATTATACATCTTACTTTGATCTGATTACTTCTAATCAAATGTACTAATCAATGTATTTCATTTTGTTAACGGGTTGTCGGGTCCTGATTACGGTGGTAATTTTTTTTTTAATGACAGGATAACCCGACTCAGCCAGACACGAATGTAGCGGATTTAAGTTGACCGGTATTAGAAACAGCTGTGTTGGCGGGGCAAATATAAAACGGTTGGGTTAGTGTAGGTTTTGTTTGGGGTTTTTTGTCCCCAGTGTCATCAAAAAAATTACCACCCCTAATTTGGATTATAATTTATAATCATAAAAAAGATTACATCCGATTCACCACACCCAGACAACCCGACCCAAAACACAAGAGAGATTACAATTCAACCCAGATGGGCCAAAGCCGCCAGATCCATTTCCTCCTACCGGAAGTCCCAAAACTTCAAATCTCCAGATTCATAGTAGCAGTAGCGAAGACACAGAGAGGCAGCCATGAACCTCCTCACCAGAAACAGACCCACGGCGAGACCATGGCCCACCAGAAAACAACCCTCATACAGGTCCCCACTCATTTACCTCACTCTCCTCTTTTCCCTTCTCTTCTTCTTCTCCTACATCTTCTCTCTCACTCCCAACTCTCTCCTCTCTAACAAGACCTCAATTTCCGATTCCCCAAAATGCCCCTCCCTTGGAGGAGAAAAGTTCCTCTGGTACGCTCCCCACAGTGGCTTCAGCAACCAGCTTTCCGAGTTCAAGAACGCCGTTTTGATGGCCGCCATTTTGAACCGGACCTTGGTTGCCCCTCCGGTTCTCGATCATCATGCTGTTGCTCTCGGTAGTTGCCCCAAGTTTCGGGTTTTGAGTGCCAATGAGATCCGAATTTCGGTCTGGGATCATATCGTTGAGCTCATTCGGAGTGGGAGGTATATCGGTTTCCTCCGTTTCTCATTTTGTTGGTCTATTTGGGGTAAAGGTGTTGAATTTTGGTGGAATTGGAATGTGGGTTTGATTGGTTTGTTTTAGTTTTCATGTTAATGGCCCCAACTTGTTTTTGCTTGACCCATTGTTCGGTTTGTAAAATGATGCTGGGAAGGTGTTGGATTTTTCTTTTTTGGTAGGGTTGGCATGTTGGTTTATTGGGTTTGTTTTGATTTCCATGTTAATGGTGCCAAATGTGTCTTATCAAACTCACTTGATGTACACTTGTGATATTTATTCATTGGTTCCAAATTTATTTCGATATTTTTTATATTCACAATACAACTATCTTTCTCTCTTGTTGCAGGTATGTTTCCATGGCCGACATTGTTGATATATCATCATTAGTTTCTTCTTCTTTAGTTCGAGTCATAGATTTCAGGGTTTTTATATCCTTATGGTGCAATGTGAACGTAGATTTTGCTTGCTACAATGAGTTGGATAAGCATGCCTCTTTGCTTGAAAGACTTAAGCAATGTGGATCTCTACTATCTGGGCTCAATGGTGATGTAAAGTGTTTATATGCTGTTAATGAAGACTGCAGAACTACTGTTTGGACATACCAAAGTGGTAATGAGGATGGGGCATTGGATTCTTTCCAACCTGATGAACAACTCAAGAAGAAAAAGAAAATTTCATATGTTAGGAAACGCCGAGATGTATATAATACTCTTGGACCTGGTTCTGAAGCTGAATCAGCTACTGTACTGGCATTTGGGAGCCTTTTCACTCTTCCTTACAAAGGTTCGGAGCTATACATTGATATTCATGATGCTCCAAGAGATCAAGGGATAAAAACTCTGATTGAGAAGATTGAGTTTCTTCCATTTGCCCCTGAAATTCTGAGCGCAGGGAAGAAGTTTGCTTATGGTACCATAAAGGCTCCTTTTCTTTGTGCACAGCTCAGATTGCTAGATGGGCAGTTCAAGAACCATTGGAAGGCTACTTTTCTGAAGTTCAAACAAACAGTGGATGCTTTGATGCAAGGCCCTCTTCCTATTCATATTTTCGTGATGACCGATCTTCCTAAAAATAATTGGACAGGAAGTTACTTGGGGGAATTGGTTAGAGATTCACGTCAGTTTAAACTGTTTTTCCTGAAAGAAAGAGATGAGTTGATAATACAAACTGCTAAAAGAATCGTGGATGCAGGTCATGGCTTGAAGTTTGGGACTGTTCCAAAGAAACATGATAGCACTGGTCAGATTAAGAAGGATTGTCCTCCAGGACTACCTGATGTTCTTCTATACATAGAGCAAACTGTTTGCAGTTGTGCTTCCCTTGGATTTGTTGGGACAGCAGGGTCAACTATTGCAGACATTATAGAGTCGATGAGGAAGTTTGGTGCATGTTCTAGCTAGTTTTCTGATTACATGGTCAAATGCCTAATGACATGAGAAATTCTAATTCAATGAAGCTGTACAAATTATGGTTCAGAAGCATGCCTGAGCTATGCAAGCTTGAAATTGTGAGCCTGCTTCACGGCTCGTAACTTAATGGCACCAGCGGGTGTAGGCAGCAGAGGAAGTGCTTCGTGAAGAACGGAGTTGAATTCGAAAAAGGTTGCAGTCTTATGAAGAAATGCATATCTCATGCTCTAACAAGAAAAGGTGTGGTTTGGTTTCTCATCAAAATTCTTATATTGCCACTGATTATAGACACTGTTTATGTACAATTTTTCTGGAACATCATTGTAATTATTCCAAATTCCAAATTTCTCATCTCACTCTCTCTGGTGGGCTGGCGCGAACTGGTTCTTTGTTTGCTTCTTGGTTTCAAATTTTTTTTTTTTTTTTTTTTTTTTTTTTTTTTTTTTTGGGTTTTTGGGGGTTACACTTAAGACTTGGTTGTAATTTAAGGGTTTAAAGTTAAAAGCAATAAACCTGGAAGCTTAAGCCTTCAATGGGCTGTTGTGGCCAAGTGGCTTTTCTTAGGATCTTATCAGTAGTTTCCATTGTGGTGGCTGCCAGCCAATGAGATCTAATCCTGTGGAAAAGGGACTTGACTTGCGGACTAGTAGTCTCAAGTTCAAATCGCTATAGCATCTTGGCAATGTGTGTAAGAAAATTAGCGGTCTCTGCTATGCTAAACAAGATTATCTGATTCCTTATTAAAATGCTAAAAAACGGTCAACACCTAACCATACTAATCAATTTTGAAGGCTCCGTCAAGAATAACTAAGCTGCGGTTAGCTTTGCGATTAGAGATGAGAATGCTGGAGTTCTTCTGGCTGGGGCGAAGAATATTGGTGATGTCTCGATCACAGTGTATGGACATTAGAGATGGTTTGGCTTGTGTTGCTCCTAAGGGTTGGCGTAAGATCATGGTTGAGGGGGACTCCAAACTTGTGATTGACTCAGTTTTGAAGCGTTGCTCTGTTCCTTGGTGTATCGCCTCAGCTCGTTCAAGATATCTTGCTTTTCACGTGTAGTCATATTTTCAGAGAAGTTAACTCAGTTGCTGACGCTTTAGCTTTGCTTGGGCATACCCTTTCGCCTTTGAAATTATGGAAGTGTAGCCTCCCTTTTCCGGTTGTAGCCTCTTTCTATTTGGAACTTTTTGGGACAGTCTCGTCTTTATTAGTTGTTTTGCTTCGTATAAAGAGAAGAAGAAGAAGCTAGTGAGTGGCATTAAGGTGATCTTAACACCCCAACCCCAACGGTGCTTCCCTTCCAATTACGTCATCTTTGGCCAATTCGGCCGGTGCACTTCTAAACAAACTTTGTTCGAGTCATATTTTGCTTCCTCGCTTGTGTCAGCAAAACAGATACCGACCAAAAGTAAAAATGACAAAAAGAATCAAACCGGGTCACGGAACAAGGTCCAACCTTGAGTTCCAAGTTACAAAGATTTACGCCATCACAATCAGCCGGGAATAATTAAGTATCGAGTTCATCATAAATATATCTCGCATTCAAATGGAGACGACAACAATTAAATAAAAAGCATCAACGACTGTCATGTATATCGATTCAAGAAATTTAAACTCAATGCCTCATCAACCAAATGCCACTACAATTAAATAGTTATTGATACAACAATCCAAAGTTTAAATTGCCAACACGCAACTTGCTAGCAAATTCTTACGTTGGGTTTGACTGAGAGAGAACTTTTCCACCCTTCAAAGTTTCATATGTGAACGTTTATGTACTGACGACCAAGACAAGATTAAAACTTAAAAAGGGCACATTTGGTCAATTTTATTATTATTTGGTAAATTCAAAAGAAAAACTTTCTGCATTTCTCAGTCATAACCATATACATTTTGTCTTCTGTATTTAAAATAAGATGTCGTAACTTTTGTTTTATATTTTTCTGTTGAGGAAATAACAAGTCGTACTAGTCAAGGATTGAAATATCGGCCGATACACCGATATATCTGCCGATATATCGGTATTTTCAACTGTCGACACCGATATTGGGGGGTAAGACCATATCTTCCTATGTATCGACGATATATTCCCGATAAGTGCGATATCCTCGATATTTTGCCGATATTCCCGATATTTCCCGATACCCATAACAGAACCCAAAAAAAATTTAAAAGTTAATTGAAGCAAATTGAAACCCAAAAATAGCTAATCCTTGTCGAGAACCCTATAATATATTAATATGAAGAATCTATGCACAGTCCACTGCCCACATACCTCCAATCCATCTGAAGAGGACATGACAATCAGTTTTGGATCTATGAGCATAGGAACTAGACCTAATACTAACTCAAATGAATCTTATGATGGCTATGGTTATGTCATGTCTCATTATAATGGAACTAGTTATGGAGCTCAAGATGATAAAAAAGATTATGGACCTACTAGTTGGTTAATCCTAACTATCCCATATATGGGAGGACAATAAGGGTCTTAAGAGAGACCTATGTGCACCATGTTCAAACATGGCTTATAAACTGCTCGAGTTACATGACTTGGTATGACTATTGTATGAATCTAGATGGTTGTTCCTCATTGTTTGAACCTCATAGGAGCTCTTCATTTATGTAGATGGACACTTATCTAATTTGTAATCCAATGTTTAAACAAACTATGGATTTATGCATGGTTTATTCATTTAAATTAACATTTTATTTTCAAACTTTTCATTAATGCGCATTACATACCACTTATATTTCATCATATGTATATCTTATTATTAGTAAATTTTGAGTTTTATTTGTTCAATACATTCATTGATAATGTATATAACATCTATGAAAGTTTTACACCAAAATTATGTGTTTCAATGCCTATATCTGTCATTTTTGTTGATTTTTTCCCGATACCTAAAACGATAACGATATATCCTCCGAAATATCCGTAAATTGGAGGCCCGATATTATCTGCACGGCCGATATTTTAATCCTTGGTACTAGTGACCTTAAACATATCTCACGATTTTGATAAACAAAACAATTGTTTTAATTTGAGAAGATTCAACACAAGGCCATAGAGTATGTTGTCAAAGCATTTCATCAGCATAATAATAATTTGGACCAAATTTCAGCCAATTCCTTAGATTTGATTGAGAAGTTTGGCAAGCTTTTCACACCTATAACCCAACTCCACTTCATTTTAAGTTTTATTCATAATTTTTTTTTTTCAATCAACACAGTGCAGATTCATTAAAATATTTCAATTAGTTTAAGGGGCTTCGTAGCTCAAGTGGTTAAAAGCATTTACCTCTGAACTCGAGGTCTTAAATTCGATATTCCCTTCCCCAATATCGCATGTATCATAATATAAATAAATTATATTAGTAATGAAATGTATTGCCTTAAGTGATACCCCCACTTTTAAATAATTGAAATTTTTTTGGTAGCAGCAACAATTTCATTAATGCAATACAATAACATAGCCCCATAAACGTATCTTGCAAACAATAGAAAGATACACGTAATAAACATAACTATCGCAAGATAATGAGCAAAAACAATTATACATCTTGAAGACCCAACTCACTAGGAACTGAAGGTCATAAGAGGAATCCATAAAACTACTGCATTCGGTTCTACAAGAAGATTATATGACATATGAGAGCTCTCTACTAGTTTGGGTGTTGGGGATATAAAACACTTATAAGTGGAATATCAAATCTCACGATCAATTTTATATAAACTTCCACCAGGACACATGATCACGACGTCTATCAAACATTCATAAACCCAAAAACCAATTGATAGTACAAGAAATTAATGGCTCCACCCCTCAACCGAGAGATTTGATGGAGATCCACCTTATTAACTCCAAAAACTGCAAGGACAACACAACATAGGTTAAAAAAGATAGATCTACAAAGATCCAATCAAAAAGGTTGGTAGGGAGACCCTAGAACAACTAAGGGTGAGATAAATCTTGCAAGGGGAATGCTAGCAACTTTCTCTCTAATCTTCTCCTTTGAACCTTTTCCTTTTTTTGCTTGACATGTTTCATTCTCCTTACACTTAAAACAATGTCATTAATATATGGGTAATGATTTTTCCACTCCAATTTTATCCACTTACACTCATTTTTAGTTATAAAATGGAGTGGATAAAATTGGAGTGGGGAAATCACCACTCTAATATATTATACAAGTTAACTTTTGCTTTCCAAGTTTACCCTTATTAAATGTATTCAATTTATCCAAAAAAATTTCAAAACTTTCTTACCATCTTATAAATTTTTTTTTAAACGTCAATTATTTTTTTAAAGAAAATTTTGCTTTTAAAAAAAAAGAGGAAATGTCCCTTTTTCAAAAAACACAAAGGTTTTTTTTTTTTTTTTTTTTTTTTTTTAATCTAACCCTTAAAATAAAATTAAAAAAAAAGGGGACATTTCCTCTTAAAAGCATATATATTCTTTCTTTTTTTTAAATAATTGACGTTAGAAAACAAAATTGATAAGATGGTAAGAAAGTTGTGAATTTTTTTTGGATAAATTGAATACATTTAATAAGGGTAAACTTGGAAAACAAAAGTTAGCTTGTATAATATATTAATGACATTGTTTTAAGTGTAAGGAAAATGACACATGCCAAACAAAAAAGAAAAAAGAGTCCAAATGAGAAGATTAGAGAGAAGGTTGTTAGCATTCCTCGTCTTGCAAAACACAAGGAAGACAAAAGCCTACATAGTACGGAGAAGATAACCTGGTTTATTCATACGATGGGATGATTCCTCTAGGAAGAAAAATAGAAGGTAAAAAATCCTTTTTTGGGTTTTTCTCTTTTTATTGAGAAGAAAAAAAGAAAAAAAAATCCGAAAAGTCATGTAATCAGGTATTGGCACGGATCCGAAAAGGAAGTAGTCAAATTTCGAACATGAACATTGGGATGCACAACGACAAATGTTAAGCTTATCAAGAGACCCTCCTTTTCCGCTTCTGTATTAAAAACAAAATAATAAATTATATAGATTTAGATACCATTTATAAAACTCAGGGAGATACATATCGATCCCAGTATCCCAACCACTTCTTTCTCTCTTACAAAACCAGAGAGAGCACGAAGCTGGCTGTTCGTAGCTTCTCAAGTTTTCAATTCCCATAGTCTTTGTTTGCTGGGGCTTTTGCTTTCTCTGAAAATGGAGGGCGTTGATCATTTAGCGCACGAGCGGAGCAAGGCGCAGTTCGATGTGGATCAGATGAAGGTCGTCTGGGTCGGTTCTCGCCACGCCTTGCAAGTCTCCGATCGAATTGCTCGCCTCGTAGCTAGCGATCCGGTAATTAGTTCTCATTTGATCTGTTTGGTTTCCGAGAAAATGTTTGAAAGCCTCAGAATTTTGGTTTCACATTTTAGTAGTTAATTTTTAGTTTGCGAGCTGAATTTTTGTTTTACTTAATTAACCATTCAAAATTATTTACTTACCGGTACTTTTTCGTTAACAATGTTCATAGTTGTATATGAATGATCCTATGAACAGATGAGTGATTGCTTTGCAGATGATCAGTTGTTGAAAAGTTGTTTGATTACGATTGTTTGAAAATTTCGTTCTTTAAAAACTTAGGCACCGAAAGCAATTGGATTTTTTGTTCTTTTTATCCATATTCTTACTTTTCGCTTGTGTGTTTTTTTTATTTTTAAATTTTTAAATTTTAAATTTGACTGTAATTATATTTTCTGTGTTACTGTTTAGGTATTAAGAAAGGATAATAGAACTATGATGACTAGAAAGGAGTTGTTCAAAAACACATTGAGAAAAGCAGCTCATGGATGGAAACGGATCAATGAGCTTCGACTTTCTGGTGTGTCTCCATCTGGGAGATCTTGTTTCGTAGATTTATTGTTATTTTTGTTGTTATTATTATCATTACTGTTACTGTTTTTATATTTTTCTATACCATTTTTCATTTGCTTTAATAATGCAAATTATGCTACCATTGTTACAGAAGAAGAAGCATCCTGGTTTAGGCATTATGTTGATCAACCAGCATATACGGATCTTCACTGGGTAAGCTCCAATTCTCCCTTTTTGTGCCATTCTAATTTGTCTATATTTCAATATCCTGTTTGATAGTATTTTGTTTTACTACGATTTTCCCACTTCCTTGTATGATAAGTATTCTGCATGTTTTTGTAGTCTTCAAATATTTGAAATGTTTGTATTTTTTAGTTAATATGTTAATTTTCTCTTCAGGGAATGTTTGTGCCTTTTATTAAAGGATCTGGTACTGAGGAGCAGCAAAAGAAGTGGTTGCCGTTGGCATATAAGATGCAAATTATTGGTTGCTATGCACAGACTGAACTTGGTCATGGCTCCAATGTTCAAGGGCTTGAGACCACTGCAACTTTTGATCCAAAGACTGACGAGTTTGTTCTTAATAGTCCTACACTCACTTCAAGCAAAGTGAGTAATTTTAATAATGTTGCTTTTTTGTTTTCTTCTGATTTTTTATCTTTTGAGTGAAATTTTAGTATCAATGATAACAAGCTTGTGATGGGAATTGTGCTTAGTGTCATTTTGATCTAGATATTTTCAACCATAATGTGGTGGTTATATTTTTCGTTGATTGAAATATCTAGTTTAGGCACTTATTTTCCTCCTTATTGGTTGTGAATAGTGGTGGCCTGGTGGTTTGGGAAAAGCTGCTACACATGCTGTTGCTTTTGCCCGTCTTATTACAGATGGAAAAGACCATGGAGTAAATGGTAACGACCAAGTGTACATTGTTTGGAACTTCTATCGTGAAGTGAATGGTCTATTGATTTAATTTATAGAACCAATTCTCTTGTTTTAGGTTTCATTGTCCAACTTCGGAGCTTGGATGATCACTTACCTCTTCCAGGCATAACAGTTGGTGATATCGGCATGAAATTTGGAAATGGAGCATACAACTCCATGGACAATGGTGTCCTGAGATTTGATAATGTCCGCATACCAAGAGATCAAATGTTGATGAGGTATCCACTTTGTATGCATTGTACTTGATGATAGATAGGATCGTTGTGCTTGAGTGCTCATATTTCTTATTCAAAGAGGTAGAAAGGATGGCTATTCTCATTTTCTTCTCAAATGTGCCAGGGTCGCACAAGTTACAAGAGAAGGAAAATATGTCCAATCCAATGTTCCACGACAGCTACTTTATGGAACAATGGTTTTTGTGCGGCAAACAATTGTATCTGATGCTTCCACTGCTCTATCACGGGCAGTATGTATTGCTACTAGGTATAGTGCTGTTCGTCGACAATTTGGTTCAGAAAATGGTGGTGTTGAGACACAGGTATCTGATGGAACATTGCCTCATTAAGTTTGTTATCCTCTGCGTGATTTTGTTCTGAAGATGTTTTGTATTTTGGTTCGTGTTTTGTTCCAGGTGATTGATTACAAGACTCAACAAAGTAGGCTCTTCCCTTTGCTGGCTTCCGCCTATGCTTTCAGATTTGTTGGTGAGTGGTTGAAATGGCTATATACGGATGTAACACAAAAGTTGCAAGCAAATGATTTCGCCACATTGCCTGAAGCTCATGCATGCACTGCGGGTCTGAAGTCACTGACTACTTCTGCAACTGCTGTAGGATATTATTGCTGCTCTTTATTCTTCTATGTTTTACCTTTCTCTTTGAGGCCCATGAAGCTTTTGGGTGACAGCAAACATATACTTCCCGTCCCATTGACAGAATCTCTCTCTCTCTCTCTCTCTCTCTCTCCTCCTCTCTCTCTCTCTCTCTCTCTCTCTCTCATATAATTTCTTTTTTTGACAGGATGCCATTGAAGAATGTCGGAAATTATGTGGTGGGCATGGTTATTTAACTAACAGTGGGCTTCCTGAGTTATTTGCTGTTTATGTCCCGGCATGTACATATGAAGGAGACAATGTTGTTCTACTTCTACAGGTCAATGGATTACGAAGCCTTGTTTTACTTGCTTTTGACTGGACACTTTACCTTGCCTTCTGGCTTATTCCATGCCTGTACTACTATACTTTAAGAGCTGCTTTTGACTTTACTCAATAATTTGTCTCTGACTTTCGCCATGCCTGTTCTACTGTGGCCTAAGAGCATAGGAAAATGTGCTCGCAAATTGTATATATTTGTTTGTTTTACATCTTGAATTTGTGGGCAGTAGGTTTTAACGAACCATAGCTCCTATGTTGTATGTTCATGGTAGGAGCCTACTACTGCCTTCAGTATTTATATTTTGTGTGCTGAATTATTTCTCAAATGTTTTTTAGGTTGCAAGGTTTCTCATGAAGACTGTTTCTCAGCTGCCATCTGGTAAAAAGCCTGTCGGAACCACATCTTATATGGGCCGTGCAGAACACTTGATCCAATGTCGTTGTAATGTTCAGAAAGGTTGAGTATAAGTATTCTTAATCTACATGCTTTTGTTACCTCTTTCACATCACGAAGCACAAGGATAAATTTTATACTATGTGAAGGGACAATTTGTGCTTGATTAATGCATTTACACTTACGTGGGTTGGTCCTTTCATGCCTTAGTTGTTTAGTCTGTATTTTCAATGTCATGCAGTTGAAGATTGGTTGAAACCCAGTGTGATACTTGAGGCATTTGAAGCAAGGGCAATTAGGATGTCGATTGCCTGTGCTCAAGACCTTAGCAAGTTTTCAAATCAAGAAGAAGGTCTGTAGTTTTTTTCTTTTCTGAATTTTCTGTTTTTGTCTTTCTTTTAATGAGTAACAGAAGAACTTGTCGCCTATAATCTTAAGGGAATACTTGAGACATTGTAGAATCATTTTGACACCTCAGTTAGATTTTTTAGTTAATTTAGTTCATGTAACATTAACTGTTCAGTTATATGAAGCTGCTTGGTTATTTTTATTCATGCATCATGCTGTGCTATTCTGATGATTTTGATGCATTTCCAATTCTTCAGGCTTTGCGGAACTCTCGTCTAATTTAGCTGAGGCAGCAGTTGCTCATTGCCAATTGATTGTCGTCTCCAAGTAGGTTTCTTCCTCTTTATAATGTCATTTGAATAAAGTTTTGGACTTAAAATCCATGCGTTGGGTTTGACCTCCTCTCTGCGGTACCTTTGTTGAAGATTATTTCTGTACCTCCAATTACTAATTTAGATAGCTGTTATTAAGTTTTCCACTTTGTTAATCATGTTATGAAGCTTTTCTTTCATGATAGGTTCATTGAGAAACTCCAACAAGACATTCCAGGGAAGGGAGTGAAAGAACAGCTTCACAACCTCTGCAATATATATGCTTTGTATATTATTCATAGACATTTGGGTGATTTCCTCTCCACTGGCAGCATCACGGCCAAGCAAGCTTCGCTCGCCAATGAGCAACTTAGATCTCTATATTCCAAGGTTTGCCCCATCAAACTTTTATTGAAGGTCTACTTGTTCATTCATTAAAGTAGCTGTCGTCTGATAACTGTATCTTGACTTATTGCAGCTCCGTCCCAATGCCATTGCCCTTGTTGATGCATTTAATTATACTGATCACTATCTTGGCTCAGTTCTTGGCCGCTATGACGGTGATGTTTACCCGAATCTTTATGCTGAGGCATGGAAGGATCCTCTTAATGAATCAGTTGTGCCCGATGGCTATCGGGAATATATCCAGCCTTTGCTGAAGAACCAACTCCGAAATGCTAGACTATGATTTTTACGGTGGTGTCAGAGGATTCAATCCATGCTAATAAAGCTAGCAGTTACTCGCTGTTAACATTGTATTGTCATATTTATGCAACTACAATGACTAGTTCCAGGATATGGGAAACAAAAGGTTTTATATTGTTCTTGATAAATGTCGCCAGCAGTATTGATAAAAAACATTTTCATAAGTCTTGGTTTATACTTCAATTTGACGGCAGTTCTCATATTCCACCTCTTATACCACACCCAGGTAGTGCTGCTATTTGAACCACATTTGCTTCAACTATTATGCTAATCACTAAAGTAGGCATGGAAATACCGAGCGAATTACATTGTGTAGTGATCACTACAGCTTATACCTATTACCAGAGTTCATGTGAGCTGCATCTCCCCACAATCCTAGCCCCTACGAATTGTGACTTCTCAGCCAACCCCCTATGATATTACCCGTTCATTCTGAAATTTCCATGCCACACATGGTTTTATCCAGTAGCCCGAAACCCTAAACCCTAAACCCTAAACCTCTTGCTCTTTTACACTCTTAACAGGCACATATTCAATAAAATGATGGTTTCAATGGGAATTGGAGGTCAGGAAAGCAATGACAGTGCTGACACCACAAACAACCTTAAAACATCCGAGTGACACTTTTATTACTGTATATGTGACTTCAACAAAAGCTCCACAGTTCTACATCAAAACAAAGAGAACGAAAATTTATGATATAAAACATTTTACTTTGATCCACCGTTGCGACTGACAGGTCCAGACCTGTAGCCACCCTTACAAGGCTTGCCCCAAGGTGTTACAGAAGGCCTCCCTTGCTCTTACCCTTACCCACCACCATGTGGATGATCAATAGGGTTCATTGCACTCCCCGAACCTTGGGCCGGCGGCCCAACCACTGGCTTTGCCCGGCCTTGTAGAGCTTCTTGTGCTGATTTCCTGAATTTGGCCCACTTGGAAACCGACCCGATTGTGGCCCGGCACTTAGAATCTATCCACTTCTGAACATGGGAAGGCAGCTTCACCAAACATCCCGCTGATGAGGGTTCTTTCAAAATGGTTGGATGAGTTCTTGGGGCTCGAACCAACTTGCCACCTTGACCCGGCCTCATCTCGATGTTGTGTATCTTGGCCCCAATGTGCTTAGCACCAAGAGGCATGCAACGTCCCAATTGTGAATTGATGTCAAAGTTAAACTGATTTGTGCTAGCTCACCACGACACATCGGTGGAGAGAGTGCGACGGGCAGTGGTGCCGCTGGTTGCGGCGGAGGACCCTATTGAAGAGGGTTGAGGAAGCTGCTTGAGCTCTCCACCGAGTCATTGGATCCACTTCTAGGGTTTTCTTCCTTCTCTTTTCTTCTCATGCAAGCTACAACTTAAACTAAGTGTTGTTGAGCCAAATAAGGGAACACTCACATGTTGAGCTATTTCATGAGCCCATTGCCTATTAAAAGATATCTCTGATTGAGGCTTTTCCAATGGGTCAGGTCAAACAATGGGCTAGTTTTGGGCTTACGAATTTGGGTTGAGCTTCAAGTTGGTTCTCCTTTTTTTTTATTGTGTGAAAATATTAGGCTTCGGCTTAATGTAATCATAGCAAGTACGTGATATGGGCTGGCTTAAACTCCAAACTAAGGCCCATTGAATTTGTTGGCCTACAAATTTCCCTTTTTGGAACATACACGATTCACGACCAAAGGAGATACCGGCAAAGCAAAAAAAAATAAGATCAAAGAGAAAGGAAAGGAACAAGCTGGAAAGGTAAGTAGCCAGTGTGAGAGTAAATGCTCTCTACTAGAGCTAAGGCCCCGTTAGTCATGAACATTTTCCTGACACCTCCGAATTACCGAAGAAAACTTCCATGCATCGAAGATACATCTTCTCTATAAGGGTATGAAGATAGAGGTACTTATCATGAATTCGAAATAGAGAAATTGGGTTTGATATGCGGGCGAAAGAAAATTGAACAATTATGTATTGATCACTCTCCTAAGAAAGGGAATAGTGTCTCATGATAGGGAAGTTTTGTATCGAAGTTACCATCTCGTACTGTGCCAAGTGATGTGCCCTTCCACTACCTTGTCTCTTAGAATGGGTTGATGACGTCAGTATTGTGTCATTTTGCCCCAAGCAGCAGCTCGGGCTGAACTTGCTCATGGGCTTCCCCAGGCTACTGGAGCCCACTGTTTGCCCGGGTTGGAACTCTTGCGCTGAAGCTGCCTTTGGTTGCTTGGGTCCCCTCTTGCCAGGGCTCCTCCTCAACGGTGGAAGTGCTCTTAATTATAATGCGAATGGTCCAGCCCTAAAAACCATGGTTCAACCTATATAGCTAATAATGTATGAAATGAGATATGAGGAGATGAATTTGTATAGAGTTTTTGGTGTGGTAAGTAAAGAATATGGCTATGTTTTTTTGTTTTTTGTTTTAATTTTTTAAATCTGAAATTTTTGGTTTTTTTTTTCAATTTATTTTTGTTGCTGACGTCATAGTGACGTCAGCATTGTGTCATTTTGGCCAGGTTGGGCTGAACTTGCTCGTGGGCTTGCTCAGGTTGCTGGGTCCACTGTTTGCCCTGGCTATAACTCTTGCACTGGACCTGCCTTTGGTTGCTTGGGTCCCCTCTTGCCAAAGCTCCTCCTCAGCGGTGGAAGTGCTCTTAATTTTAATGTGAATGATCCAGCCCTAAAAACCCTAACCAACCTATTTTGCTAATAATGTCTGAAATAAGATATGAGGAGATGAATTTGTATAGAGTTTTTGGTGTGGGAAGTAAAGAATATGGCTAGGTATTTATAAATAAACAAATAAAATGTGAAAGTTTTGGTATTCTTTTCAATTTTTTTCAATTTTTTGTCATTATGACATTAGTATCATGTCATTTTGCCCATACAGCAGCACAGGCTGAACTTGCCTGTAGGCTTACCTTGGTTGTTGGGGCCCACTGTTTGACCGGGCTGGAACTCTTGCGCTGGAGCTGCCTTTGATTGCTTGGGCCCCCTCTTGCCAGAGCTCCCCCTCAGCGGTGAAAGTGCTCTTAATGCCTTTGATTGCTTGGGCCCCCTCTTGCCAGAGCTCCCCCTCAGCGGTGAAAGTGCTCTTAATTATAATGCGAATGGTCCAGCCCTAAAAACCCGGGTCCAACCTATATAGCTAATAATGTCAGAAATGACACCGCAGCTAATTTCATGACCCATCTAGAGTCTGGACCATTTCAACAACTCCTTCTACACTAACTTGAAAAGGTCCCACAATGCCACAAATTCTGCAACCGTAGCAGTCTAGCCACACACTCCATTCTCATAGACCAACCTGCCATAAAATCACCATTATTGTTTCTGTTTTCCAAATGTAATCCCAAAAGCTAGCTCATATGCTAATTTTGAAACTTACATAAGTTGCCTGAGGATTCACATCATGGACATTCAAAACTTGGCAATTAATCAAAACTTACATCAGTTGCCTAAGCTTTTTTTTTGTTTTTTTGCATTAGTTCAAATTCCACAGCCCGTGGAGGAGATGTAGAGAAATGCTCTTTTGGTCACACAATATTTTTTTTATTTTTTGGTTGAAGTTTCAATTCATTGCAATCCCCCAAAAGGGCAGAGAACAGTACAAACAAAGCAAGGTAAAAACACCGGCCAGAAAACCAATAGGAAACAAACATGAACAAATATAGCTAAAACCAGTACAGTATAGCATGAAGATCATGTTCCCAAGTAAAAAACTAAAACGTCAAAAGCCAACAAAAAAGGCCCACAATCTTAACATGTTCTATTTATTGTTAAATTATCAATCAAAATTATTGAGTAGACAGAATTACATATGAATCATGAAATGTAGGGTTTTAATTGATAATTTAACTTTATCTCACGAATATATATATATATATATATATGCCCTAGAAATTATATATCCATGTAGGGTTTCTTATTTAGATAAGAAAAATGATAAGAATCGAACTCCAATTACGGGATACATTGTTGTATAACTTGGGCTAAAAATCTCTAGTTATTGTGACTTTGGGAAAGATGGCACATATTGATACACCTACCAGGAGGAGATTTCACCTTATTTGATTCAACTTTCGAGTAGTTTTTGGACCCCAAACACACAAATGAATGAAAAAGACGGTTTTCATGTGCTGCCTTTGAATAAGGTCGTCCACCACTGCGGGCTTAAAGGAGGTGTTGCAAGATATCGATTCCAATTGTCGGAGGTCGTCCTCGTTCTTTGAAGTTTCTAAAGTTAAAATGTGGTGTCATTGTCAGTAGTGTTGAATTTGTTTTTGGAGAGCAAAATTATTGTAGGCACAAATAATTTACAACAATGACAGTCCTGTAACCAAATCAATGCTTGCATACTAAATTATTGTAGGCACGTAGAAATGACAAAATATTGAAGGACAGGTTTCAATGTATTGGGGTAAGAGAAGATAAAAAAGAGAAAATGAAAGAAACTTGCCTATCAAAATAATTAGAAACTTGTGCTTTTGTGCACATAGGCTTTTGATTTTATGAACTATGATGTTTAGGAAAAGATGTTTTATTAAGAAGAGATGTACTAGGGTCACCTAATGACCATTGGAACTGTTTTGATTTTTATAGACGCTTTTATTAGAAGCACGTGAAATTTTTATTAAAAAACCAAAGTGTTTCCTGAAGACTTCAAAAAGAGGTTTTATGTCCCAAAAACACTTGTAAATGTATTTGCCAATGGCCCTTCTGAAGCAATTCCCAAATATGCCCTTAATTGATAGTCATACATGCATTGGCGGAACTAAAAATTGATGTTACAGGGTGTCCTTTTGCAAAATATAAAAATAAAAGGAATGAGAGCATAAACACTGCAAGTTCTCGTAGAGCTTCTTGTGCATCATTTTCAGACCCCTAGACCAATCCCCTAAAGTAAAAAAATCAAGAAATAAAAGTTTAAATTGGGTGCTGTTAAAGGAACCCTAAAATTAACTGAGTACACCCTACTACGAAACTATTTATTGAATTACTAATTCACCATAATATAAAATAATATATTGAATTATGAAAAAAAAATATATAATTTTAATAAGTACACCTTACTCACTATATTCAACCCTAATTAAATCAATCCCTTAGATCAATTAGCAATTCACATGGCAAGAACAAAATAAAGTTAAATTCATCTCAAGGACAACATATGGGACGTTAATATTAACCTTAGGCTCCTGGCTTTTGGTTGAATGAGGAAATACATCAACTAAATCGGTATTTGTTAGTTTGACAACATCTTTAGGACAACTACAGTATAATTCATCAAGGCAACCACCAATATTGGAAGCCCAGCAAGCCCAGCAATTCATTGGCATATACCAAGGTAAAAATTAGGAAATAATATCGGATGTAAGGATATCATTTATCATTCCCCAAAGACAACAAAATAAAATGCCCCATAAAGAAAATCAATTATTCTACGAAGACCACTGATACATATTAATAGCCTATAGAATTTAGAACCGTGTTGTCCAAATCACATTAATGTTGGCAAGTTTGCAAAACTTATCTATATAATGAAGCATAAACTTTTTTATTAGCAGCTAACTCTCGAATGTGTTTGGTGTTGTATGATAGTGTGTATTAGGGGGGTATTTTTGGTAGTTAAAAAGGGTGTACTTAGTTAATTTTACATTTTGATTTAAATATTTGGGTGTATTTAGATCATAGAGTATACTCAGTTAATTTTAGGATTTGTTTAACAACACCCTTTAAATTACATATTTTACACATCAAGTTCTGATTGTTATACATATTTGAAATCCTTGTATCCTCTTTCAATATTCAATTCAATTCATACACACAACATTAAATTATTTACAAAGAGAGAGAGAGAAAGAAAAGGAGAGTGAAATGGCAGGGAAGAAAAAAAAAGGAAAAAGAGAAAAATAGAGAGAAAATGGAGAGAATAAAGAGTTGAGAAGGGGCTTGGGACCCCTCTTGTCCCTATGTGGCTCCGCCACTGCATACATGTTCTCTATACTAAGGATTTGTCGAGTCATCACGTCAAATGTAAATTTGTCGAGTCATCACGTCAAATGTAAATTTGTCGAGTCTTCACATCAAACGTCATATAACATGTTGCACCTGAATCATTTATCCACATACTATTGCGAGTAGGTGCATAAATATTCCAAGGCATAGCATGTGGCCAATGAGAAACGTACAATTTTACCTAAATTTCTTTTTTGATGGTTTGGACGGATTCAACAATTCTGGATATCCAACCAATTCCTAACACCATTCATGACTATGTTTTGTACCACCACAAGGCACTACTACATTTTAGTCTTTGCGCGACGAAAGGGTTTTCGTCGCGCAAAAACGATTTTAGTCGCACATCATTATGCGCGACAGAATATTCGTCGCGCACAATCCGTCGCGCAAAGGTCGTGAAGAAAGGATTTGCGCGACGAACAAATGTCATTCGTCGCGCAGTTTGCGCTACGTATAACATCTTCGTTTCAAAAAACATTTCGGGACGGCCTCATTGTCCGTCGCACAAATATTTGCGCGACGAACCAGAGGTCGTCGCAAAAAAAACTGCGCGACGGAATTGTCCGTCGCGCGAACTACATGAACCTTGCGCGACGACATCTTATTCGTCGCGCATACACATCTTGCGCGACGAAATTACTCGTCGCGCAATATTAAGATATATTTAAATGTTTTTGCGCGACGATTTACGTTTCGTCGCGCAAAAGCAATATATATTATTAAAAAAAATTTATTATTATTTGATTTTTAATTTTGTAAAAAAATAAATGTTGTTTTTTTTTAAATTAAAATGAAATTACAATTAAAAAAAATTAATCGTAAAGAAAACATCTATTATATAAAATAAAATAAATGTATACAAATTGTAAAATAAATTATAAAAATAACAAACTAATCAAATAATGTTCCGAAATCTAATTGGTCATCTGCCACATGCGGCTCGGAGGTATGCGGCTCGGAGGTATGGGCGTCTGCAGGGGCCGTGGTGTGCTGGGGATGCTCGGGCTGGACGGGCTCGGAGGTCGACGCACCAAAATTCGGGATTGGAATCCCGGACCGCGCGAGCGACTGCAGAATCACCGACATCTGACCCTCAAGCTCGGCAACCCGCGATGTCAAAACAGTCACCTGACTGTTTGCCTGCGACGATGACCGCGGTCGAGGTTCCCTCTGTCGGGCATTCCCCATCCCCCTACAATACGTTCCCGGCCTCCTCCCGAGAGTCTGATCCAACGTCTGCGTCAAAATCTGAAATCCAGCATCATGCGGAGGATCCACAGACTCGATCGGAGTCTCGGGAGGAAGTTGGGAGGCGGACTCTTGAAGAACCAACTGGCTCCTCTCCACCATCGTCGTCTGTTTAACATTACATAAAATATAAATTAAAAAATGCATATAAATTGAAAGTGTAACATAAGAATTAAAAATACATAATACTTACATGAAGGGACTCGGCCAACTCATCCCCAGGTCGAACATAAACGTCACCAAAGACGTCGATCTCTGGGAATTTCGACCCCCCCTTAATTGAACAAGAGAAGAAAAATATTAGTATGAACAAAAGAAATTAATAATAATGACATATTAAAAATTAAATATAAATTATATTATTCTTACCCGACGCCGTGCATCCATCCTATATGAGAAGGGCCTGGAGCCGGAATGGTGAAGAAGAGTCTTCTTCTTCCTATTGCCCTTATTCACTTGGGCTTTATTCTGTTATACAAAAAATAAAACGTAAGAATTGAACTATAAATAAATTAAATAATAATGAGATATAAAAAATAAAATAAACATTAAACAAATATTATTAAAAAAATACCACATAATCGGGCGCCTGAAAATGAGCGCAGAGCCACGCCCAACTATCCTCCCGGCCCTCAAGCTCCTTCGGGCAACCCTCCTGAAGAGCGACTTCCGGATCATCAAAGGCCTGGAAATGGTGGTGCAAGTCGCTCTTCCACTGCTTGTACCTCTCACCGAAGAGTCTGTTGACGTACGCCAAAGTCTCCTCGTTGAGGTCCTCTAAGTCGTAGTTCGTCTGCAATAAATTGATTACATACATTAAGTAATAGAAATATATAAAGTTTGAAAGAAAAATAATTAAAAGATAGGAAAAATACCGACAACTGGCCGCGAACTTGCATCTTGATCTCGTCAGGTATGACCTTCCAAGACTTCCATTGCATCGGGCAATGGGTCCGAACGACGTGGCCAATGTCGTGGGCCAAGGAGCTATGCAAGTCCGCCGTCGGTGCAGCCCGATGGCGCTCGTCATATCCGATGCTGATACGACTGTTGGTCACCCGGGTGACCTTCGCTGTCTTCAGCTGCCGACACGGCCCTCGGGTGTTCCTCTTGGCTGCAAAGGGGAAGGGTATTACCTGTAGGTGCCCCCGAGGCACCAGTACAGTCAGTGGATGTGGTGTCGGTGGTGGTAGCGGGCCGGTGTCGCCGCCTAGCGCTAAGAGGCTGCACCACCGAAGAAGATGATGATGCAGCCGCCTGGGATCCCCCAGGACCAGCTAGCACGTGGTCCTGCTCCATCAGTGCTGGAGCAGTGGCAGCTGATATCGGCTGAGCCGGGGGCTCCGAACTCGGTGTAGCCGTCACCGCCCTACGACGTCTAATCAAGTCTGACATCTGCATAATTTCATTAATCCAATGTAGCACATACAATGTCAGTAAAAAATTGAACTAACTAATTAAAATCATAGTTTGACCTAGGGTTTGCGATTTCGGAGTATCCGGGACTCCGATCCACAATCCGTCAATTCCTAAACGATCCTATAAATACATGGTACCACATACGTGAGTTTCAGCTCGATCCAACGGTCCGAACATATCAAACCCTAAAATCGCACAATAGGTTCAAACCGTTCGAGACTCAAACGATAACCAAATTCCAATCCGAGCACACCTACGCGCTCGTGACAACGAAATGTTTGCACTGGGACAAAAAGCCCTATGCCACAGTACCCCACGCGCCACCACACGCGCCGGCAGCGCGTGGGTGCCCTAAGAGATAACGATCCCCGGGAAATCCTACAAATTAAGGGGCAAGGTTCCTACCCTAGGTTTAAAACATCAATTGGAGCCACTTTTGTTCTCGGACCTACCCCGAAAAACGGACGGAAGTGGCCGGAATTTGAATTTCAAAACCGGCCGAAACCTAGGGTTTCAAATTGACTACCCTATGCACACAATCAATCAAATCCTACACAACCATCAGCTAGAGCATGAAAAATAGGCCAAAAAGCATACCTCAATTGCCGGATTTGGTGCCCGGAGGAGAGAGAACAACGGCGGCGGAGATTCGGGCTAAACCGAGCAATTCACGGCGGCAGGATGGACGGCCACGGCGGAGAAGCTCCTGGGTTCGACGGTGGCGGCGGCAGGGTCTGATTTGGGGCGGATTAGGGGCTGAGGTCACGGCGGAGAGATTTGGGAGGTTTTAGGGTTAGGTTTCAGAATTTGGGGAAGAAGGAGAAGATCGCGATTTTCAGAAAACTTATTCGACTTTGCGCGACGAACATATATTTCCGTCGCGCAAACGTCATTAAAATAACCCTTGCGCGACGAAAACATTAACTTTTCGTCGCGCAATGTTATAAAATTGGACCTTTGCGCGACTAGAACAACAAATTTCGTCGCGCAAACGTGTGAACAGATATACCTTGCGCGACGAAAAAAAACTACTGTCGTCGCGCATACTTGTGCAGCCGCCCAAAATTTTGTAATTTGATTTTGCGCGGGAAAAAATCAATGCAATGCGATTGCGCGACGAATCTTAATTTCGTCGCGCATGCTAGCTGTTCCATCTAAAGGTTGCGCGACGCACTCTCTGTGATTCGTCGCGCAAACTGGCTTTTGATAAAAAATTTCACTAAGTGCTGGAGCGGAGAGGAGAGGGAAATTTTTTTATTGATTTTGCGCGACGAATGGACTAATATTCGTCGCGCAAACTGGCTTTTGAAAAAAAAATTTCACTAAGTGCTGGAGCGGAGAGGAGAGGGAAATTTTTTTATTGATTTTGCGCGACGAATGTACTAATATTCGTCGCGCAAACTGGCTTTTGAAAAAAAAATTTCACTAAGTGCTGGAGCGGAGAGGAGAGGGAAATTTTTTTATTGATTTTGCGCGACGAATGGACTGATATTCGTCGCGCAAACTGGCTTTTGATGAAAAAATTTCACTAAGTGCTGGAGCGGAGAGGAGAGGGAAATTTTTTATTGATTTTGCGCGACGAATGGACTGATATTCGTCGCGCAAACTGGCTTTTGATAAAAAAATTTCACTAAGTGCTGGAGCGGAGAGGAGAGGGAAATTTTTTTATTGATTTTGCGCGACGAATGAAATGTATTCGTCGCGCAAACTGGCATTGGATAAAAAAATTTCAGTAAGTGCTGGAGCGGAGAGGAGAGGGAAATTTTTTTATTGATTTTGCGCGACGAATGGATTCTGTTTGTCGCATAAGGTTTGTGCAACGCGTAAGCTTCTATTCGTCGCGCAAAACCATACCCCAAACCCTAAAACCTGTACCCTAAGCCCTAAACCCGAACTCCTGAACTAGTTTCAATGATCCAACCGACAATCTTCTTTTTTCATAGTTCAAGATCGTATACGTCAAAAATCATAATGAATGAACATTCAGAGATTGAGTAACGGGACAAAACGTTTCGACGGTTGTAAACAAATTGTCCCGATTCAACGGTGATTTTAGCTCCGATCTTGAAAATTTTTTGCAGCTGCGGTTCTTGACCCTATATGAATACAGAGATTTAATTCGATCTTCAATTTCAGATATTTACAGTACAAGACATCACATAATCTTATATTAGACTGAAGGAATGTATAAAGAAATTATTCAGTTTTTATGAATATTGTGTTTTTATGGAATACGCATTCTAGGAAACTAGTTTCAGTAATCTAGCCGTCAAATATGTTTGTTTATACTTCGAGATCTTATACGTCAAAAATGAGAAAAAAAAACATTCAGAGCTCAAGTAACGGGACAAAACGTTTCGACGGTTATAAACGAAAAGTCATGATTCAACGGTTATTTTGACTCTGATTTTGATGATTTTTTAAAGCTATACTGTTTAACCCTATGTGAATACAGTGAACTACTTCGATCGTCAATTTCAACTATATACGTGTGTATAAATCAGAAATATATATATATGTATATGTTTGCGCGACGGGGTTTCTTTTTCGTCGCGCTAAAGAGACTTGCGCGACGAAATTATTTGTCGCGCAAATGGTAGAGTATGCGCGACGTGTACATTATCCGTCGCGCAAAAATTGCGCGACAATTATGTCTTCGTCGCGCAAACCACATATTATTAATCTGAAGTATTCATCATTACATATAATTACTTGTATGAAAGTAAGATTTATTATATTTTCTTTCGATTTGAGAATGGAAGGATTGTTGATAATCTTATGTTCTTTGTATTCATTTTTTCGGTTATATGGTTTTCATTTTTTTTAAAATTTTTTGTGAAAATAAATTTAAACTTTATGATACAAATTAGTTGGCTATATTTATTTACCAATGGTTTATAACTACAATTATTGTAATAATAATGTTTCACTTGGTATCATATATATTGTTTGGATATAACAAGTACATATATGAAAACATTTGCATTACACAAAATATGTCTAATAACATAATAAAATTACAATAAAAATTAATCATTCATCATCTGAACTATAATAACTTTCGTTATCGTTGCTATCATCACTTTCGGTCTCCCAATCCTCTTCCTCCTCCTCCTCCTCCGCCTCCTCTATAACTACATCATCGTCGTTGCTCGGGCCAACTGCAACATCATATCGCGGAAGATCACCGAGGTCAATTGTAATTGACTGAATCGGTATTTCGATTGAAGACACTCCTTGTATTTGAAATGGCTCTTGTATAACATTAGTATCTCGAAGTGTTTCCGCATCATTTTCCATTGAAGATTCTAAACGTTGGTCAGCTACATTGTTGACGTTGTTGTCAGTTGGGTCTAGTTCTGGTATAGCATACACGTTCCTGTGATCCATCTTTTGAACAACGTTCCAACCGCTTCCGGCTTTAGGGTCATCTAGATACACAATTTGTGTTGCCATGTTTGCCAAAATATAAGGGTCGTCATCATACCAAGTTCTGTTCATGTTCACAGATAGTAAGCCATGATCGATTTTAACACTTCCCGGCCTATTTGGGTTGGTGTCAAACCATCGACACTTAAACATGATCACTTGGTATCGATCTTTGTAAAGCAATTGCACGACAGTTGTGAGTTTGCCATAGAAATCAATGTCCGTACTTTCGCCTCCACCTGGGACATGGACACCGCTGTTTTGCGTACACAACTTGTCATCTCGTGCTTCGGCCAAAAATTTGACACCGTTGACATTACAACCCGAGAACAATTCGGCGCGAATCGGGCCAAACGCCAAGTTATATAACTCATCACTGTAAGTTGGGGAATTCGATGATTTCAACTTATTCACCTAATATTATACAAAACCATTCATATGTTAGTCGGACAAAATTTATTAAAAAAATTTATATTTCTCAAATAACAAACACTGATAACTTACAGAATCCAAAAACCATTGTGGAAACAATTCACGGTGTTTCTGGGCAACCAAATGTGATGGATGTTCTCGCTTCATCATCTCTTCATGCTCATATAAGTATCCCATGATCTCATCACAATTGTTCAGTACGAACCAATGCGCTACCTCCATGTCATTTCTAGAAAACGACTCTCCGCGTCCAGGATCTCCGAAGGGTCGTGCGCTTTGGGCAAAAACAGAAAGTTTTTCATTTCTCATACCTCCATCATGATTGCGCTGAGGACGATTGAAAACCGTCTCCACATCTTTTAAATACATTCCGCAGAAAGTAAGCGACTCATATTGAACCCAAGCCTCTACGATTGATCCTTCGGGCTTCGCCCTGTTGCGTACACTTTTTTTCAGCTCTCCGAGAAGCCTGCCAAAATAAAACGATATGATTGAAATTAGCAAGCATGTGATAATGATGCATACACAAATGATAAGGATTATATACCTTTCTATTGGATACATCCAGCGATAGTTGACAGGACCAGCAAGTAATGCCTCTTCTGGCAAGTGAACCATCACGTGCATCATACTTGTGAAGAAAGCTGGAGGAAATATCATCTCAAACTTGCATAGGACTTGGACAATGTCATGGCGCAACTGAAACATGTCCGTTTTTCGCAAAGTTTTCGCCGTCAGTTGGGAAAAAAATCTGGACAACAAAATGATTGGCTTCACTACATCTTCCGGCAATAGGTGTCGAATACCAACAGGAAGTAGGCGTTGCATAAACACATGACAGTCATGGCTTTTAAGTCCAGTAAATTTACCCCCGTCAACATTCACACAACGTGCGATATTAGAAGCATACCCATCGGGAAACTTTACTGACGATACAAACTTTAGAAACTCTTTCTTGTCATTCGGTTTCATAGAAAAGAATGCAAGATCCCTTCTAGCTTTATCATTGTCCCTATTCATCCATAAACCCCTTCGTATGCCCATTCTTTCCAAATCAAGACGAGCTTTGATCGTGTCCTTTGTCTTCCCCTCGATATCTAGAATCGTGCCCACCAATGTGTCGAATACATTTTTCTCAACATGCATCACATCTAGATTGTGCCTCAATTTTAGTTTCGACCAATATGGGAGCTCAAAAAACATAGGTTTGTGCGTCCAGTTCATATGTGTAGAAGGTCTGATACGACTAACTGTTTTCCCGAAGGGAGCAAAATCCAACCGGTTCAGCTGGTCCAATATCTCATCACCGGACCATTCTCTGGGTCTAAGGCGACGCTCAGTGTTCCCGTCGAACTCTTTATCTTTTTCCCTCCACTCATGGTCCCATGGCAACCATCTCCGATGACCAAGGTAACAAACTTTTCCAGCATGCCAACCAGAAGTTACATCTTCCTTGCATACAGGACATGCCATATAACCTTTTGTGCTCCACCCAGAAACCATTGCATATGCTGGGAAATCATTCACAGTCCACATAACTGCTGCCCGCAAAGTGAACATCTTCCCAGTTGATTTATCGTACGTGCGAACACCGTTTGTCCACAAATCCTTTAGCTCATCAACCAGCGGCCTTAAGTAAACATCGATTGACCTCCCAGGATCCTCAGTTATCAAAACAGTCATCATCATGTATTCTTTTTTCATGCATTTCCAAGGCGGCAAATTATATGGGAATACGAAAATCGGCCAAGTGCTGTGGTGTTGGTTTAGAACCCCATACGGATTGAATCCGTCAGTGGCAAGTCCCAATCTAACATTTCGGGATCAGCAGCAAACTCTGGGAACGTTCGATCGAACTCTTTCCATGCCTTCCCATCTGCAGGATGCCGCATCACATCATCGTCTACCCGTTTTTCCTGATGCCATCTCATGTCTGTGGCAGTATGCGTCGACATATACAATCGCTGCAACCTAGGTTTCAGGGGCAAATAACGCATGACTTTTTGTGGGATCTTAGTCGTCCTATTCTGAGATGTCATCTTGAACCTCGACTCATTGCATATAGGACATGTATCCAACGATTCATGCTCTTTGTAGAATAACATGCAATTGTTTTTGCAAGCATGGATTTTTTCATAACCCAATCCAAGACCATTCAACACCTTCTGCGCCTGTTTATGGTCTTTCGGCAAACAATTGTCCGTCGGAAGCATTCTCTTGAAAACCCCCAAAAAGTAATCGAAACACAGGTTCGACATACGATACTTTATTTTTCCGTGCATTAGCTCCACAATGGCCGTGAGAACGGAAAAGCTCTCGCACCCCGGGTATAACTCTTGGTTGGCATTTTTTAACAATTTCTCATATTGTTCAAACTCCGCACTGTCTATTGGTGTAGGCACATCATCTTGCTCTTCTTGATTCATGTTGGTCGATGCAAATGGAAAAACATCCTGTATAATATCCATGACTTCATCATTAGCATCCACAATAGGTTGAACATTGTCCACTCTTGTGGCATTTGAAGACGAAGCATGCTCTAATTGTTCCCCGTGAAGGTTCCAAATGCTATATGTCTCAATCATTCCATTTCTTACTAAATGAAATCCAACATTTTCAATTGTCTCCCATAACGTGTTGTTGCACCTCCTACAAGGACAACGGATTCTAGTTGCACCCGGGTTGTGTCTACGTGCAAACTCAATAAAATCCTCGATTCCATCCAAGTATTCGTCTGCGCATCTGTTAGGGTTTTGTATCCACCTTCTGTCCATAATTCCTGAAACCAGAATCACAACACAACAATCACAACAACTTCATACGAAGTTATAATGTCACCTTATGCCTCCGGTAAGGGTCCTATCCCATTCGGGAATGCATACTCCTGCCACGTAACCTACGACTACATGAGATTAGATTTCGACGTGGATGAATTTCGCCAGCATCTCGCTACAGTTCTTGAGGTGGCCATAGGTATAAATACCTATGTACCACCCGAAGAACGTACCGAGATGACAACGAAATATCCACAATCGAAACCTAATCCTGTAGCCATAGATTACGTGACAACACTATGCATTACCAAACTGTCCAAATAATGGGACAATTCAAGAATTAATTGGACCGCAGTCATGCATTACGCATCCATGCACGAAATCCAACTAATCTCGAACGGGAAACTAAGTGTTACTAAACATAAAAATAAAAGCACGAAGTTAATTTCAATTAACTTCGTACATCACAACAGATTGTACTACGTTACGCACAACATAATATAAATATAACTTCACAAGAACATTTTAAACATATATAAAACAAATAAAATACCTTCTCAATCGTTCTCCACCAATCGCTAATTACAAATATCCCTAACGAAAACAAATTAAAAAACCTTAGTACGAACTTAAATTAATACTTTTAAACTAATGACGAAAAATACTTACCCAATCAATGTATTGAAATCCTAGCAGCAGCAGAGAGGTTGAGAGAGAGGCAGAGGCAGAATGCTTTGTTTTTGCATTCTGCCTCTGCAATGGCAGAATTCTAATATGAAGAAGGACTTTGCGCGACGAACATACTTATTCGTCGCGCAAAGTCCCGTCGCAAAAAACCAAATTATTCGTCGCGCAAACCCTTTTTTTCGTCGCGCAAACACCTGCCGACATCTAACTTTTGCGCGACGCTGGTACTTTTCGTCGCGCAAATCTTCGTCGCGCAACATTGTCGCGCAAAAACATAATTCCGCCGCGCAAAACAAGGTATTCGTCGCGTAAACGTTGAACTTTACGCGACGAAACGTCAGTACGTCGCGCAAAAAAAAATTATCCCACCCAGGTCATTTTTGGCGCCAAAAAATAAAATATCTCTTGTTCTCTTACGCGACGAAACGTCTTTCCGTCGCGCTAAATCAGGGGACTGTCCTATTTGCGCGACGGATAATTTGTTCGTCGCGCAATGTTGCCTTCAGCGACGATATTTCTCGTCGCGCAAATGTTTCGCGCTAAAAAAATTCCCCGCTCTTTTTTTAACTCAGTTTGCGCGACGAAAAATGTTTTTTGTCGCGCATATACATTTTGCGCGACGAAATAGTTTGGTGGCGCAAATTTTCAGTGCATTGCGCGACGAAAATGTATTTTCGTCGCGCAATGATTGTTTGCGCGACGAGTTGATCTTCGTCGCGCAATGTTTCGTCGCGCAAATAGTGAAACGTAGTAGTGAGGGTTACACCATTCACTGACCTGCAAGAAAAATATGAAGTGCTCAATCTCTTCCTTTCCATGGAATAACATCATCAAGATGCTTCGTACTCATGGGACTTTCTAAAAGATTTACTTAGGAGTGTGCTATTGTAAGCAGAGACATATACTTCCCATTATGCTTCATGGTGAAACCTTATTGCTCAATTCATAAATTTGAGATTCATTAGATCCATATAAAAGGGTTTTTTAACGGCAGCCCAAACTAACATTTGACCTTAAAATTCTTAGGACGCCACTTGTTGTAAGCGAGATCTGTAGAGGCTGGTTGGGGTGAATCAACGGTCAAGTATCCATATATTTCTTTCTCCTGGAAATTCATGTCTCCATGACTTGAGACCAAAGAATATAATTGGTCTCATTCAATATATTCCAATTATGGATTGTAACGATCTGTGATGTGGTTACGACGAAGAGGACGATATATATGTTTTTCCATTGAAAAAAAAATATATATATATATATATATTCGTAGGGTATATGATTTGGGGAAGGGTTCAGATAAAGGCTAGGGTTTAGGGATTCAATTTGGGTTTCACTATAGATGAAGGAAAAATTAGGGTTTCTATATGGATGAAGGAAAAACTAGGTTTAGAGTGGGTCTAAGATTGACGGCTCTAATATCATGCTAAATTACAATTTAGAGAAATTTTCTAAATGATTTATTCATTTTTTCTATAAGTATATGTATAATCACTGGTGGACTTATTAAGGCACAAAGAAGTGCATTCCTTGCTGAAAAAGGTTGCGTAGGTGCTGCAAGTTTGCCCTGCTGCTAGGCATGGTGGTGGTGCACTCAAGTGTTTCACAAAAAGCCTCACCCAAGCTTTCTTTTCTAAAGAAAGAAATAAGGAGGAAACCTGGGAGCAATTCGTGAGCTTTAAACAAGAAGTGGCCATGCATAATTTTCGTGGGCTCTAAGAGTATCTCCAACCGATGTGTCAAACGTGCCACATAGATATCTAACAGCTATAAATAACATCTCATATCACTCCAACCGATGTGTCAAAGTTGATGTGGAATGAAGGCTGGAGGTTGAGATGTTATTTTTGACATCCCAAAAGCAAGATGTCAAATGAATATTTTATTATTTTTCTTTTCTTTTCTTTTTAACTAAAAATGAATCAACACTAAAATGTAATAAAATAATAATTTTATTTGACTTATCGGGTGGAGTGTAAAGTTATGTAAGATGTCAAATTGCCACATCATCCATCAAATTTAAATTTGATGTTTGGTATTTGGCATCTCCTTTGGAGATGCTCTAAGAAAGCTTTAAAGAAGGCTTTTTATTCTTTTTATTTTTTTCTGTGAACAAGGGCTGATTTTAATTATTTTTTGAAATGGTTCACCAGCAGGCACCACATGTCAACTTCTAATTGGACCAACTTCAAAAATTCATTCAAAACTCATTTGTTCTCTAAAAAATTCACTGAAAATTACTCCGAACTCGTAATCACATGTAATTTTATCTCATGACCTCCAAATCACATGTACTTTAGATTAATAGGTATTGATTTTGGTTAGATTCATGGGTTATATGAACATATTATATACCTTAACGATGGATGTCAAATAATCAGCAAATTATTAAGCATGAATGAATTAACCTTATAATTTCCAAGAATTTCAAAGAAAAAAAAAAAAAAAAAAAAAAAATTAACGAGAAGAAAAAGAAAAAGAAAAGTTCAAGTTTATCTAATTAACATGAGGAGATGAAGAAGGCTTTGTTGACCTTATGAACACCACGAGAGCTGTCTGTGACAAGGACATGCAGACTTGAATAAGCTTCCATATATTATGACCTACCACAATCACAGATCAAGGACACAGTTGGCTTCTCGTTCTTCTTCGTCCTTTTACATACTTCTGACCATTTAAAAATAATAATAATCTAACTGTAAGTAACAACATTAATTATTTTTCAAGGTATAATTATAGTTTAATTTATATATGATTCCCTTACCCGACGAAGATACTATTTTAATCTTCTACTCAAATGAATTTTGAAGCTGAAAACAAAAACTAAACATATTTGGGCGGCTTTAATGCGAAGCAATTGTAGTTGAGAAATGACAAAATGAGAGTACCTTCCTTGAGTGATCATTCCAATATATGAACCCAAATGTGCCAATAGCGTATGCGCCTACCAACTAACAAACTCTTAGTCTAATGATTTTTTTCCCAGCATCATTGTTCCAATCTTATGCTTGGCTCCTTCACGCATGAGATTGAGGAGGGTGTAAGTAAGGGTGGGCATGGGTAGGTTAGATTGGTTTTGATCCCAATCAGTAACCTAGGCCGATATATAGTGGTTTCTAATTTCTTGGAACCAAGACTTGCTTATTATTAGGCCAACTCAACCCTTTTGTGATCAAGTTGGGTGGTTCGGTCGGCTTAACTCAAAATTAAGCCCACTTTTAATTTTTGTTTCAACACATAACCCAACCCCTACAAAGAGGTTTATGATTTTTTGATCCCATGCCCCGCTCATTATTAGGTCAACTCAACCCTATAATGATTGGGTTGAGCGGTTTGGTTGAATTGACTCAAAATTGTGCCCACACCTAGATGTAAGAATATCAATGATGCTGATGCTGCCAAGTGTCAGCAGATTAAAGAGTGAACTATTAGAATGTTGTTAGAAAACTGTTAGTGTTGTTAACATGTGGTTAGAGTAGTTAGAGAGGTTAGTAAGCCAGCTAAGATTGTAGTTAGGCTGATAAAAGGCTTGTAATGTGCTTAGTTAGAGCTTAACGAAATACAACAATCATTTCTCACTCTCTGAAATTCTCTCTTTGCTTCTTCTTCTATACTCTTCTTTCTTCTATTCTCCAATTCTTTGCTTCATCTTAACATGATCTGCCAAAAGAAGAGTAGATCGACATAGGTCCACCAAAAGCAGGAGAATACCGAAGATCACTAAATAATATATATATATATATATGTGGATTTGATTTTTCCACGCCCATTTTTTCCACTTACACTCCATTTTGCTTTTTAATACTTTTTAATCAATTTTGTTCTTTCTCTTTCCTACTCTACCCCTACGTTACATTAAGGTTTTGATAATTGAAATTAAGAAAAATTTAAAAAAAACAAAACAAAACAAACAAAACAAACAAAACAAACAAAAAAAATAATAAAAACCCAAAATTTAAATTAAAAAATTAAAAAAAATATCCCCAAAACCCCAAATTGGATTCATCCAAGTTGGGATCAAGATGTGCCCCAAATTGATTTATTTACAAGAGCCGAGAATGGAACTTCTTCCTTCCCCCACAATGGCGACACAATGAGTCCAGCAAGATAGAAACCCAACAACACCTCTTGAACTCAACTTCCATTGTAAATCTCAAGGACCATTTTTGATCAAAAGCCGAAGAACTAATATAAAAGTGAAGTAAAAAAAGAAATTAATGTAGGGTAAGGGTAGAATAGGAAAGAGAAATGATTAAAAAGAACATAATTGATTAAAAAGTATTAAAAAGCAAAGGGGTGTGTAAGAGAAGAAAAGGGGAGTTGAAAAAATCATCTCCCTATATATATATATATATATATAATCATCTCCCTAATACTACTTTACTTGTATAAAAAAAACAATTATATATTTGTTTAAAATAAAAGAGGAAAAAAAAGGGATCTTTGTCTAAAGAAATGCATTGAGAAAGGGTAAATGCAGAGTTGGTGTGTGTATGTGACATACACATTGGACCCCTATGGAAGAAAATAAATTTTATACACAAAAAGGGGCATTGATCCCGAAAGATAAGGACATACACTTAATAAATAGAAGGTGGGCAGAAAATAACATCAATACACAAGGCCTGAAAAGTGACTACACATCAATATATGGAGAAACAAATCAAAGAAAATTTTGGTTTCACCCACAGCACAAGAGTAAGAATTTAGAAAACCATATGGCTTCAAGACACATGGCCTGAAAAGTGACTACACATACTTAGAATTTGCATAGCAATTTGAGCTACCTATTAATTCTCGTTATTGTAAACTCCGCAGCTTCGTCCTTGTGAATTAAATCTCTTCCTATTTTACAGGTTAATGGGACAAAAACATCCCCTTCACTCTTGGAAGCAACTTTTATCCAAAGGTCCTTACGATGAAACTCTTGAACAAAAATATAGTAGATTGTGTGAGAAAAAAATGTGGTAGTTAGGTTGTATCTTGTCAAATATGTTAGTGGTATTTCTCTTGATATCTCTCATATCTTAGAATTTAAAAAATAATGATGGTGATAACATATATAGACATGTATATGATTAGAAATAATTATATATTAGTGTGCGTGTAATCACGTATGTATGGTGCCATTTCAATAGTTTAATAACACAACATATCAAATTTTTCACAACACGAGAACATTACCCTGTAAATATAAGTACAATTAAATATATGTATGTGGAGACAATGTAGTAGTTCCAGGAGTACATATGGTTTGGGAGTAAATTGTAGTAAATTCATCTAGTTATTACTCGATTTTAGTCCTTGGATTTGTTTTCTTTGAATTTGTAGTGCTCAGAACAGACATGAAATTAAACGAAACACACGACAAAGACTGAAAGTAAGAAACTTAAAAAAGATTTAAGAAACAAAGGATTCGAAAAACAATTTACTCATATAGTTTGAGATCTTAGTTGCTACTCTCTCGATAGTGCAATGTCTTTTCCTCTATTTTCTCTCTGCCCAAACAAGTGTATGGGTAACGGTCATATTATGTGTTATATTGTCTATGATATTAATTTAACTTAGCCCCACGCGATACTAATACCGTCACCATCTCATGTACACCCCCCACATGACAATGTCCGGGTTACTTATTGTTAAAGTACCCAGTAGTTACATGAATTTCTTTTTAATACACAATAGTTTAAACTACAAGAGAGAGATGATTTCTCACACATATATTACCAAAGTGCTATGAGAATTCGAACTTAAGACTACTTGTCTGCAAGTCAAAGTCCTTTATCACTGGGCTATAACCCGTTGATAATTAATTGCATAAATTTTAGATCACAGTCATGAGATTTTTAGGTCCCAATCTAGACTTTAACACTAGTGCAAAGAATGATTAATATAAAAAGAAATATATCACAGAGAATTAATATTGAGGTAAGGAAATGAAATGTGACTTAGTTTCAAGTTTTCATCATCAATAGAGGGAGAACGGAGCAAAAATGAAGGGGTGAGCATTTAAGATGATTGCAATTACAAGAAAGCTGCAGATGGCATAGACCACAAGGCACCAACAAACAATCTCAAACCAGCTTCCCATGTGAAATTCGTGGTGGTTTGATAAAATAAATATTTGGGAGGGTGTAGCAATTATAAGCATATATTTTGAATGGCCCACCAAAGCCTCAAATTATATTTCAAATGGTATGCACCTTGAATAGTCCAAACTTCAAAAACCCAATTAAAAATATTAAGCACATGAAAATGCCCTAAGCAATCCCAATTAAGTTGTTGTTTAATAAGACATGAAGGAGAGGCCAAGATACAAAGGAACTGTAAAGATGATGCCAAACCATACATCAAACCATACATCACTCAAACATCAACACGGGGCAGCAAAAGATAACCAATATTATACATTTTATAAAATACTTGGATACTTCTCCGTAACGAGTCATCTTTTTAAAAAATTATAGTTTCACACTTGAGAAAATTTATTTTATCACATTTGAATTTAAGTGCAAAAATAACTGCTTTTAACCACTTGAGCTGCAAACCCCTTTCATATATACTTTAGTCGAGTTATTTCATATATACTTTACTCGAGTTATATAAATACTGCGAGTTGCAAATATAAATGAATGGCTCCTTACTTTGGACCCCTTTTTATGCTTTGGTCCATTGCTTTAATTATATATGATATGTACCTTTTTGTTGTATGTGTAAGAACTAAGAGCCATTAGAGAAGCAGTGAAGCACACCCCATACCCTCTATTTTAAGCTCTGCCTACCACACCATTCTTCCAATTCTACTTCTCCTTCTTCAGTGCTCTCCTACCTACACCCCAAAAATCCCACTCCACCATGGAAGAAGAACAATTCAACTCTATAGATTCTGAGGCTCAAACCACATCTTCTTCCTACTCAAATTCAACCACATCTTCTTCTGCAGAATCTGAAGCCCAAAAAGTCAGCAAGAGATCAAATCAACAAGTACTTGATCATGATCAAAAGGGTACGAACGATGATGATGATGATGATGACGATGAGGATCAAATCAGTCAAAAGAAAGCAAAGATCAATGATAGTAATGGGAGGCAGCATCATCATCCAGTGTACAGAGGAGTGAGAATGCGTCAATGGGGGAAATGGGTGTCAGAAATCCGAGAGCCAAGAAAGAAGTCAAGAATTTGGCTTGGAACTTTTCCCACCCCTGAAATGGCTGCTCGAGCGCACGATGTGGCTGCCCTTACAATCAAAGGCCGCTCTGCTGTCCTCAACTTTCCTGAGCTGGCTCAGGAGCTTCCCCGCCCGGCCTCTGCGTCGGCAAAGGACATCCAGGCTGCTGCTGCCAAAGCAGCTGCTCTTAACTACCCAATAAGCTGTAGCAGCAGCAGCAGCAGCAGCCGTGAAGCCGACGCGGAAACTGAAGCAGAGCTGAGCCAGCACAGGCAAGCTGTCCATGATACACAAGACTCATCAACTTCACCATCAACCAATAACGACGACACGTTTTTCGACCTTCCTGATCTGCTGTTAGATTTTGGGCACCACAGGGATCATGGGTTTTGCTTCTCTGTGCCATGGCTTGAAGAGCCTAATAATTTCCTGTGGATGGAAAATTGAAAGCCAATGGGACAACAAGACAAGAGCATTGAATGAAGAATTGAAGAGAGTTGAAAAAAGCAGCTTGGCAGACAGCTTTAGTTTAAAGTTGATATTTGTTGCTTGCTTTTTGGGTGCTGGTCTAAATTGAGAGGACCACCAGAGTTTGCTCAAATTGGGAAGCTTCAATTCTTGAATCTCTACAGGTTTGGTTTGGTATATGTTGCCAAAACTTCAGCTTGATTATTTATTTTACTACTGTAAATGTATATGAGGTAAATAAAAAAAGTTTCCATATCTAGGAGAGTATGGGCTTTTTCCTAAAAATAATCCATGTCCTTTTTCTTGTTTAATTTATTCATGCATTTGACTCTGAATTTTCCCATTCTGGTAAATTTGGATTCTCTCCATCATTATAAAATTTCAAGGAAATATATAGTATAGAATATATCAAAGCAGCCTCTCCTGCCTACCAATTTATACTTTTAAAATATTATATATACAACCTAAAGCTGATGGATGTTTCATGTAGAAAAACATTAAGGCTAGAATATTTGTTTTTATTTTGAATAACTAATACTATGTTGATGATTTTATTTTTATTTTTTATGAAGAGTAAGAAACTGTCATTCCAAACAACAAGAGTACAAATAGCAAACAACAGTATGCAAAAATAGTAGCGTCGTTAAAATCTTGCCATACCATTCATATTACTGGTCAAATTGATGGTGCTTTCTTCTTAAAGCAATTGAAGGCCAAACTTATAAATTCACGTAATTAATATGTGAGTTCATCATTGCCAAAGCAGATAGACCACATGTGACATGTTGCATAATCAGCATAATTGGATTATCTCCATCATTATTAAATCAGTATTTCATTGATTTTGATAAAGAAATCTCCAATTGTACATTCATACGTATTTCGTTTGAGTAAGATTTATCAGGTAAACTAATTAGGTATTTTGTGCTTATAGGGATTCGAACTTAGGATGTCAAAGTTTGCTACAGTCAAACAATTCACCGACCACTAAATCAATTCCAGAATTTACTTTGTAAGAATGCGTGTGAGATTTTATTTTATATTTTTGTTTGTATTTTTTTTTTTTTTTTTTAGTAAATTTTCATTAAAATTGTGAAAGGTTACAAACTCGAGAGAACAAACGTGGCCTCATTAAAACCTTGCTCAAGCAAAAAAAGGAGACAAAACTTGAGACGAAGAGAAAAAAAAGCTACATGCTCCATAAAGACTAGACTACAAACAAAAACTCATGACAACTCCAGAATATCAGCGTTAACTTAAAGAAACACATTGAGCCATAAAAAACCATCTTCAAGCCTAACGTCTATAAAAACACTACCTAAAGCAAACTTAACAAGTCTATCAGCGACAGTGTTACACAACATATTGTAAATGTTTTTTAGTAATTCGTGCTTCATTATCGTCAATTATGTGTGCACCGTAACAAATAAATGACACATCATTTCATAGTGTAAAATAATTCTATAAATATGTACTCTTTCTTCTGCGAAAGAGAATGAGTGGTTGACATAAAATTTAAAAAGTAAACGTGCCATAGCAGAGCAGTTTTAATAATATCGAATTGAAAATGACGGGTGTCATGGTTATGGCAGCATCCTATGTTGCAATTTATCTTCTTTCTTCTTTCTTTTTTTTTTTTTTTTTTGTTTGTTTGGATATGTTGCAATTAATTACTTACAAATTGGGTCAGGTGAAGACAAAATACGTTGTGTTATAAATTCAACAATTTCTAAATGTTTTGTCGTGATTTTGTATTGATTCCATAAAAAGTAATGAAACAATTTCTGTACGGGATTTTTTTTTAAAATATTATTTTTTTTGTAAATGGCATGTATATTATTTTTACAATGTGCCTACAATGATGCTCACTTCTAATTATCTACCTACTAGTTTTTTTTAATTGATAATAGGTAAATTATGGCATGTACCTACACCTTTACCTGTATTTAAATAAATAAAAAATAGGTACGTTATCTTTTTATTGATAATGTCAATTTACCCTTATTGATAATAATTTATCTATTATCTTTTATTGATAATAGGTAAATTATTTTCAAAATGCGTTAAAAGTTAGGAATATTATTTAAATAATAAATAAATTATTTTTCATAAAACAAACAATAAAAAGTTACTAGTTATTTTTTATAGAACAAGTAATAGATACATTATTTTTTCAATATAATTAGTATGTGTAGTATTATTCATAAACAATTATAAAGTAGATTATTAATCATATATAATTCATAAAAACAAAATAACATAAACATTTTTATTAAACAAACCGATTACCTAAATATGAATTTATTGTTAAATTAAAAAAAAAAAAGTTTCCAAATTAATTCCTACATCCATTACAATCATTTGGAGAGATTTCCAAATTCAACCTCTATCATTATATACAATCCAATTAAAAAACTGTTTTCATTGATTCCTATATTAATATACAAAATACAATAATGCCTTAGTTGGGGATATTTTTGGAATCTTAAAGGTACAATAAATCATATTTTATGCTTAATTAAGTAACTTGCTGAATTGGATTCTAGTCTTTTACTTATAAAAATCAGGTTTTACTAATAGATTAATAAGGTGATGGGTTTCAGATAAAAAAAACATTTATTTGAAGGGGAAAAGCCAAATTTACTATTCTTATAATTCGTATGACATAATTACTCAAAGTTTAAGGTTTTCATGCAACTAATGGAGTGTAAGTTGGATCAGCTCAAGTTTTTTGTGTGCTTCTAAGTGATCTTAAATTCAAGTCCATATGGTACTCGTGTGCGCACCACAAATAGAAGACAAAATTAGATTTGTTTTTTCTATTGAAAATTAGAAACCACGTGTTTACTTATATTGAAAACATCCCATAATTTGTTTGGCCCTGGGGCGCAGTATTATACTGAGGTGCCTGCTTTTCTTGTGACTTGTTTGGCTGAGGATGCTATTGGGGTGTCCAGGACCTGTGTTGTTTGTGCTTAATCTATTTGTTCTAGGCTCTTAGCCCTCCTTGTTACCCCCAAAAAAAAAAATTCCCATAATTTTCCGTTAGTTTCGAATCTTTCGAATATTATTTTTTCTGATTTTCTGTACTTGATATTATAATAGAGAGACAAACAGGCCCACCTAAATGAAAAAGCCATCAAAAGAAAATAAATTAGTTGGTCCGCATAAAGTTTCAAAAGAGAAGAATCCAAATTAAGGGAAGAAAAATTTACCAACAAAACAAAGGAGGAAGAAGAAACCCACTTTTTCTTGTCTGTGTTTTGATGAGTTGGAAACAATTGCATGGAATGCTTTTTATCTTAATGATTGAGATACTTGTATGCTTTTCATGCACATCTCCCTCTTTCTTATTCACTTTCTTCTTCTCAATCAGAGAGAGATTCGTTGATAAATAGTGTAAAACCAATGACACGCAAAAGGTCAATTCCCAGCTGATAAGGTTCATACATTGTGTGTACTCCAATTAGTATTCGAGTCCCGCTATCAGCAGTCCTCATTAGTGCGCAATCTGTAATTTCCTATATAAATTTATACTGGTGGTAACTGACAGTTGGGTGCCACGCGTAATTCCTTCCAGCTCGAAGTTGTGAGTATGCCCTGACATTGGTGGTGAGAGTAGCTAATCTTCCCCTAAATCTATAAAAATTAAAAATTAAAAATTAAAAAATTAAAAAATCACTAGGGTTTTTCTTTGATCTAACTTTCACTTTGTTGTAGTTGTATAGTGCATACGAGCAATAATAACGAATATTGATCATTGTTCCTTATCCCCCACAGTACTTAGTGTTGAAACGAACAGTGCCTTTTTGTCCTCGTGTCTTCCAACACTACATTAACTTAATAATTTGTATTGAAATGGAACCTTCATATCCAACAGAGGAAAAAAAAAAATTAGGGTTGACGTGCATGTCACGCTGTTTTAAATTTCACATCTCTCTAACATTGAGAAATTTGACATCTCTCCAATATTCAGAAGAGAAATATCAATTGATGAAGTAGGTATACTAATTGATCAACAACGACGTTTCTAGATTTAAGAAAAGTTATTTTCGATAGTGGTTCTCTTCACATCATTTCAGCTTTTAGATTGGTTTATATTTTTACCCGTGTTTGTCATATTGTTCTTGAGGATGACTTCTTTACCATCAGTGTCCTTTGTACTTTTTTTCCTATCGATATCGGAACATTAAAACATATTAAATGGAACATTCATAGAAATATATGTTTATGGGGTTACATCTTATATAAGAAGCATCTCATTGCTATTTCCTCACTTTTATTGGTACCAAAATTTTCCATTACTTTTGTGACTTTTGATTGGTTTGTATCTGATAATTGAAGAGTCCCATCACACATGCATCATGCATGTAGAATATTAGCTACTAAATCACCACTCTTTTACTACTTTATGTTTGTGACAGAGACATAGTTGTAAAGTGAGCTTATTTAGGAAGGTACAATTAGCATAATTTGCATAAAAAGCCTATGGTGTTTTTGTCCACCTGTTTTTTTTAAAGGAATAATTATTTGAAATTGACAATTATATAACTTTAATTTGATGATTTTACCTATGCAATTAGGCTTCACTTTTGACTTCCCCAAAATAAGAACAAAAGTAGGGAAAATACAATTTAGAAAATAAATATATAAAAATTTCTTCCAAAATCTACATAGACAATTAGGCAATTAGGCTGAAGTATAGATATCGTACCCTCTTTAAGGAGATTCAAGTCCACTACAGTTTGTACATGCCATGAATCAAGGTATGGATATCGTGCCCTCTTTAAGAAGATTCAAGTCTACTACAGTGTGATACATGCCATGAATCGATGCAACATTATTAAGAGCATCCATAATCATGCTCCATATTTCTTAGTTAAAAAGCTATTTTCGGAGTTCTCTAAAAAATTTCAACTCCAACCATACTCCTAATTTAGAGAGTCATAAATGCTTTACTTCTTTTTTAATTTAATTCC